GTTTAGCTCAGCATCAGCTATGTAATGTTAACTTAGCTTGCTACTAGCTTTGTAACTGAATATTTGAAAAGATGAGTGAATGTTTGCTTGTCACACTTGTTTGCGTTGAGTGGCGTTGACATCCAACTCTTGACATGACATAAAAAAGGTCGATAACGTTAATCATTACGTTCCGCTGCCACCATCTACTGGCTAACGTTAAACGTAGAAAAATACATAGTTACATACATAAATACATCTGTCGGTTTATAGGCAGGTTACAGGTTTATTGTTGACCACGTAACGTTAATGTTACAGGTTTATCAGGTTACCATTACACTGGGTTTGAGTGAGAGGATAGAGGAATATGTTTATTTATAGTAGACTTAAAAGATGTAATTAGAGACCCAGTGTAATTAAACAATACGGTTGCAGAGGTCACATTTTAACATTTTTGTCTACTGGCCAAATGGCTAGCCTAGTGAATGTTGAAATGTTACCAGCCACTCAATAGATTGGCATTGTTATGTTTGGCTGGTGCGTGCAACATACAGTACCAGCCACTTGCATGATTTACCAGCATTTGGCTGGTAAATGGTGTTAATGGTAGATATCTCTTTTGGAACAGGTCATGTTTTAATATCATCAGTTCAGTATATTTCAGATAATATTGCAGCAATAGTTTTTTAGTTGCAAATGGCACAGAACAAATGTTTACTTTTAAGTACTTTTAACACAGTTTCCCTGCGGGGGATTAATAAAGTATTTGTGATACTGATTTTTGATTCTGAAGTGTTTTGCTTATAAGTTGTTTGCATTTAGCTAAAGTGTGATGTTTTTCCTCATATTGCATTGCAATAGCCTGTTTAAAGTGATCATATAACAAACAACTAATCAGTACTGATACTGTATGCTAATAGATAGGAGTGATAATAATACAGTAAATGCTTTGAATTTCTTAGATATAGCTGTGCAGTATTCTTAACAGACTGGATAGCAGCAGACAATAGAAGGCTTATTACAACCAGAAGAGACATGAGACTTTTATTTTTTAGAGACTTGAGACTTGACTTGGACTCGTGACCAAAGACTTGAGACTTGATCAAGTCTCACCCCACAAAGACTTGAGACTTGACTTGGACTTGCAAAAAAAGACTTGTGAACATCTCTGCTGGACTCACACACAGACACACTCTCTCTTTCACTTTTCTGTGCCGGATTATGTGTTGGTAGAGCGACACACACACACACACTTTAGAAACACACCATGCATATGAAAGCTTTGTGTCTTTCTCTGGGTTTCTGTGTGTTTTCCGCCTGGCCGTCCTCAGAAATGTTGTGACATTTTTATTTGACTGCAGTGGCCTGAAGAGAGAGATGAGTTGAGTCACGGAGGTTTAAATATGAATATCTGAGACAAAAAACAGAGCAGAGTGATATTAATAGAGACTGAAAGACGCATATCTTTCACTCAAAGCTGCATTCAACAGTTTCCAAGCCACTACTAGAGGAGAGGAAAAACTACATTTCAAACTAAATGAACAATTGTAAATTCTTCACAACAAAAAACTCAAAATTGGATGATTTTTATAATGTTTTGTAGTATGAGGTTTGTACTAGTATTTTAAAAATACAGGAGTTTATTCTTTGATACATTACCTTGAAAAATACCAATATTACCGATACAGATAGCTTTTCATATCTTATATGTTATACTGATGTTTATTAGCATATTATCCCTATCAAATAAATAAATGTATTTATAACAAATAACCAAATCCAATGGAAGTTAATAATATGTATAAAGGTGATAAGCAGTCAGGATTAGGACATTGGTATTTAAACAACTTTAAGTATTCAGAAATAATATCCCAAAAAATGAAATTTTTGAAAACACTATTTAAGAGAAGACCAGAAAAATAATAAATGACAGGATAGAATTAGAAGAATTATACATCTTATTATATGTTTGATTACAAGCCTTGGTTTTTTCTAATCTGCTCCTGTTATAATTTGCATTTTCTTTCATTATCTTGATCAATTCAACATTTCCACAGCATAAATTTCAATCAACAAAATGTCATACTTCCCACTCAAAAACTGTTTTTCATTCTTTCCAATCATGTCTAATCAGTTTTTTTGCTCCGTGTCATTGAAACTCAACACTGTCTGTGTGGAGTGAGGGAGGTCTTACAGAATTTATGGTCATATTTAAGGAAGTACAGGATGCTAAAACACAAATTAAATGTTCTGTGCTTTGGTGGTGGGTACTGTTTAAATGTGTGACTGTAGATCTCAGTGTTGGGTCTGCTGGCTCAGTTCCTGTCTTTGGACCACCTCTCCACCATGCGGGTGCTGAAGACCCTCAGGGCCCTGCGTCCTCTCCGGGCCGCGTCCCGTCTCGCTGGTATCAGGGTAAGCTCCACCCGCCTCCTGCTTCCCCGGCGAGAAAATCAAGCTCTCAAGTGGTCGGGCTGAGCAGGCTGGAGACTCAACTTTGACCTAAGCTTCCAGTTTACCTGCTGCTGGAGAATAAACCTATTTTCAGATTCATTTTATGTAGGTTTTTGGGGCTTTGTTGCAGTCTCATATTTACAATTGTAACTTAGTTTTGATTTGGTTCTAGTGCAATCATTTTGAAACATTTTCTCAATAGCACCTAAATACCATTTTTTTTTCTTCTGTTGACTGGTTTGTAATGTTTCTCTAACTCAAAGCTTTACATTTAACATATTTAGAAAGTTGATGTTGAAACTTTTCCTGAAAAACACCTTAATCACAACTCCATTCATGCAATCACATAATGCTGTCTGAATAAAACTCCAATTTCTAGTTATTTTGCAAAGAAAAACAGGTTGTCCTTACATCCAAAACAGGGTTAAAATGTCAGTGGCTCCAAATACTTTTTAATCTGTGTAATTTCTCACCGAAAAACAAAGTAATCATCCCTTTCTTTTACAAAGTTTGAATACATTCAGTTTATTTGGACGTCAAAGAGGAATATTAACACATTTGTCCAATTTCTTTGTCTACACAGCTTCAATTTTCCTTTTTTTCACAGGTCATACCTCAATTTGTCATTAAAAAGGAGACTAACTCTATTTATTCCCTTTCCCGCAGGAGTTGGCTGATATTAAATCTAACACATGTTTTCTCCTCAAATCCACAGCTCTGACTTCCTCTCTGTCTTTATTAGAGTAGAAGTTAACCGTCCTGCTTCTGTCTTCTCCTCCTCCTGTCTTTCCCTCTGTCCTTATGTGTCTATCTGCTCTACCTTTATTCCCCCTATTTCTCTCCTGCAGGTGTCGTTGGTCAGTATGGTGGCCAACACTTTGGGTTACTCAGATTTCGCCGCCATCAAGTCCCTGCGGACTCTGCGCGCGCTGCGGCCCCTCAGAGCCCTCTCCAGATTTGAAGGCATGAGGGTAAGAGTCAGTATTAATAAAACTAACACACCTGGGCGTCCATTACTGCAAGGAAAGTATAAATATCATACATTTCCTGCAAAATGTTTGGTAAAATGTTGTTTGAGTATATAAAGTATACAAATATGAGATTATTAGATCATTATGCGATATCTCATACATTAATGTACAAGCAGGATTTTACTGTTGTATGTGGTTAAGGTGGAGCTTCTTTCATTATGGATTAATCTAAAAAGACTGTTTAATCTGTCAAATGGTGAAAGATTTGTCCAAACTTCCGCATTATAACACATTTCTTAAAACATTTGTACATTATTATTCATTATTCAATGGACAGGCTGCAAAGATTATTTAAATAAAAAATGGTTTCACATTCATTTTCTGATACCCAGGTGTGAGTTTTATCCTCTATCATCTCTTCCGTAGTATCATTGTTTCCTTCTCTCTGATTGGCTCATCTCGTTTCTTCCTGTCAGTGTTTCCGAGCTTCTTCTGCAGCTTCCTCTCTTTCAGAATAACCAGTATTTCATATTTGAATGCCTCAAAGAAGGCAATCTTCTCTGTTTGTTTCTGTCTCATCCATCAGTATTACTATATCTCAGAGTCAGTGTCCTGCAGGAAATGTACTTTTGATACATTGAAATGATACTATTTGTGAATATTTGTATATTTCTTAACTTTTAATATTTTATTTTGTGTGTCATGTATATAATGTTGCAAGCCTAGAGTATTTACTGCACCTCTGATAAAAAGAAATAACCTATGTTCCTTTATAGTTTACACTTGGATTCAAAGTTTTAAAATATCATGTGATTACAAAATGACTTTCAGTTTCATTTGAACTGCACCAGTACAAAGTATAAGTTGAAGCTAAGAGGTGAAATGTGAAAGGTGTGCAGGACGCTGACTCTGTGTTGCATGCTGGGAAATAAGTCTGAGCTTCCACTCTCCCATGATCGTGTCCTCTCCTCTTTGTTCGGTTAATACGATTAGCTCTGGTGTCATTTTGCAAAATGCTGTACTGCTCACTCAGCAGGGGATTCTGGGTGGAAGCAGTGCATTGTGGGCACAGTAAGGAGGTCTGGAGTGGCAGGTCGACTTTATTTTGTTGTGTTTAGTAACGACGTTAGCTGACTCAGCTCTCACTCTGAGCAGGCAGAAAAAGAGGAAGATTATTTCTCCCCAAAAATACAATAATATTAAAAAGAAAGTTTGTTCAGATTTGACCGAGCAAGGGAAGAGATCGAGTCCCTCAATATCTAAATGTTGCTTTGGAGCAGCTTTATGCAGTATTCCTTGTATAATTTTGTTTCATTTAGAGATAATATTGTATTATGAAATAAAACAATACATTAATAAATACATAACAAATAGAGTTGAGGAAGAAAGAAAAATATCTACATTTCCGAGATTTAAGTAATGAATTAACAATAGAAAACTTTTCCACAAAATATTTTTGTTTACAAGAAAGAGATATCCAAAGTCATTTTGGATATCTCTTAGTATCACTCCATAAATCACAAAATACTGCGATCCAAACCACACGACACAAGAGTTAGTCAAATAAATGTTTTTATGTCTGAATAATGTCAGAATAAGGTATGTTCCCAAGCTTTAGTTACAATTTAAAATCTGACATTCCAACTTTAAAGCTTGTATAAAGTCAACCTCAAAGACATAAATCAGAAAACACATTACTCTCCAACCTGACTCCGCCCTACTACATCACTACTTTAAAATGTTTTGCTACATATTGGACATATTGTTTCAGCTGCACTTTTATGTGCAATAATCTCAAATAGTCAATGTGTGTGTGAGACAGTGTCTTGTGTGTGTGACGGTGTTTTTGGCCCGCAGGTGGTGGTGAACGCTCTGATCGGGGCGATCCCCTCCATCATGAACGTGCTGCTCGTTTGCCTCATCTTCTGGCTCATCTTCAGCATCATGGGCGTCAACCTGTTCGCCGGCAAGTTCGGACGCTGCGTCAACCGCACGGGTCACATCTACGAGTCGGCCTTCATCAACAACAAGTCCGAGTGCAAGGCGCTCAACGACACCTCGCTCTACTACTGGACCAAGGTCAAGGTCAACTTCGACAACGTGGGGGCGGGGTACCTGGCGCTGCTGCAAGTGGTGAGGAAATGTGATTTATCGCTCTTTATCATGTCGCTGAAGCTTTTATCCAAAGCGCCTAACAACAGTGAACCATGAAGAAACAAAAAAAGAACAGCAAGATTTTGGCAAGAACATTCGCTGTTAATCAGTCCAACCATTTTATTTATTTTAAGATTTCTATTTTTGTTCTGTGTTAGGGGAAAAAAAGTAAATATTTTTTTCATATTTATATTTAATATGACTTTTTCCTCATTTTTTCAAAGCAAGTTTTAACTTATTCGTGGGTATATATGACAACATAGTGGTGAGAGTTGAGTATTTCCAGTTTACTTTTAACTTTATACTAAACAATATGTAAAAGTTAGATATTGTACTTGTAAAGTAAAAACTGTGTATCTCCAGATTTGTTCATTTTGATTTTGTTGCAAAATCGAGTTATTTTAATTAGACTAAATATCTAATAATACATAATATAAACAGAGAAAATAGAAAACTGTCAATGGTTTTTTCTTACATGATTCATTCGCTGCATTTTAAGTTGCGTTCAGGCACTTTAATCACCTGCAGGGCTTAATTTGCAGCGTGGGCTGAGACTGAAACACAGACATGAACACTGCTGAACACACTGTTCTCTTGAACACACCTCATGTACAGTTCTGAGGCACTTGTACTTTACCAGAGTATTTCCATTTCCTGTGTCTTCAATCTTCTATTACTTCTGCTCGACTACATCTCAAAGGTCAATATTGTAGTTTTGACTGCACTAGTTATTTTTCAGATTGAGATCATTAATACAAAATGAAAGAATTAGTGAATACAATAAAGTTAGCCATTACTATACAAGTAATTAAAATGAGCTCAACCTATTATTTGATATTCTGGTATTCCCAAAAAAAAAGAAATAATTATTGCAATAATACAAATAATAACAATAATAATGAAAAATAACCATTATGTACTTACATAACACTTATAAAGGCATGCCTTTTACTGAGTATTGCTACACTGTAGTATTACTTCTTATACTTAAGTTTAAAATGTTAGTACTGGCTGCAGATGAAGATAATTCGGTCGTCCAAAATTATTTAAAAAGCGTCTGTTTGAAATAAAGAGCAGAGAAAACCCTGCTCAACAACTCGAGTTCAAATGAAATCTGAGTGTATCCGTGGGAGGATTGACTTTTCTCCTCCCCTCCTCACCCTCTTTTCTTTCCTTCCATCCATTTGCTGTCTTCATCTTAATTTCCCTCCCACACCTGTTCTTATCGCTCTGACTTTTCCACGTCTCCCTCCCTCTCTTTCTCTTTGTCTCCATTTGTCGTGTTAGATTTCAGTTACTTCCTCTGGCTTCTCTCGTCCTTCTTTGTTACATTTTTTTATTCCACTTTATGTTTCTAAATTGAACATGTATTTATAAAAGAGAGCATACCCATTAGTTTTCTTTTCCTACGGTATTTTTGTTGGGAAGTCATGTAAAATGAAATACAATACAGTTTGAAAGACACTTGCATGTACATATAAATACATTCAATTAAAATATATTGTGAGATATAGCCAAAATGAATAAATAAATACATTTAATAAATAAATAAATACAATATCCATCCATCCATCCATCCATCTTCTCCCGCTTATCCGTGGTCGGGTCGCGGGGGTAGCAGTTCCAGCAGAGAGCCCCAAACTTTCTTTTCCCTGGCGACATCAACCAGCTCTGACTGGGGGATCCCAAGGCGCTCCCAGGCCAGCGAAGAGATATAATCCCTCCACCTGGTCCTAGGTCTACCCCTTGGTCTCTTCCCAGCTGGACGTGCCTGGAACACCTCCCTAGGGCCTCGCCCAGGTGGCATCCTAACTAGGTGCCCGAACCACCTCAACTAGCTCCTTTCGACGCGAAGGAGGAGCGGCTCAACTCCGAGTCCCTCCCTGATGACCGAACTTCTCACCTTATCCCTAAGGGAGACACCAGCCACCCTGCGGAGAAAACCCATCTCGGCCGCTTGTATCCGCGATCTCGTTCTTTCGGTCATGACCCATCCTTCATGACCATAGGTGAGGGTAGGAACGAAAATGGCCCGGTAGACAGAGAGCTTTGCCTTCTGGCTCAGCTCCCTTTTCGTCACAACGGTGCGGTAAAGCGACTGCAGTACCGCTCCCGCTGCTCCGATTCTCCGGCCCATCTCACGCTCCATTGTTCCCTCACTCGAGAACAAGACCCCGAGATACTTAAACTCCTTCACTTGGGGTAAGGACTCATTCCCTACTTGGAGTGGACAGTCCATCGGTTTCATGGCCTCAGATTTGGAGGTGCTGATCCTCATCCCAGCCGCTTCACACTCGGTTGCGAACCGATCCAGTGAGTGCTGAAGGTCGCAGACCGAGGAAGCCATCAGAACCACATCATCTGCAAAAAGCAGTGGTGCAATCCTTAGTCCACCGAACTGCAGACCCCCTCCCCCATGACTACGCCTCGAAATCCGATCCATGTATATTACAAACAGGATTGGTGACAAAGCGCAGCCCTGGCGGAGGCCAACCCTCACCGGAAATGGGTCCGACTTACTTCCGAGGACTCGGACACAGCTCTCGCTTTGGGAGTACAGAGATTGGATGGCCCTGAGTAGAGACCCCCTCACCCCATACTTCCGCAGCACCTCCCACAGTAACTCCCTGGGAACTCGGTCATACGCCTTCTCCAAGTCCACAAAACACATGTAGACCGGATAAGCGTACTCCCAGGCCCCCTCCAGGATCCTTGCGAGAGTAAAAAGCTGATCCGTCGTTCCACGACCAGGACGAAATCCACATTGTTCCTCCTCAATCTGAGGTTCGACAATCGGCCTGACCCTCCTTTCGAGTACCTTAGAGTAAACTTTCCCGGGGAGGCTGAGTAGTGTGATGCCTCTGTAATTGGCACACACCCTCTGATCCCCCTTTTTTAAAAAGGGGAACCACCACCCCGGTCTGCCACTCCTTCGGTACTGTTTCCGACTTCCACGCAACGTTGATGAGACGTGTCAACCATGACAGTCCCTCAACACCCAGAGCCTTCAGCATTTCCGGGCGGATCTCATCCACCCCCGGGGCTTTGCCACTGTGGAGTTGTTTGACGACCTCAGTGACCTCCCCCCGGGAGATTGGTGTTGATCCCCCGTCATACTCCAGCTCTGCCTCTAACATAGAGGGCAGAGTTGTCGGGTTCAGGAGTTCCTCAAAGTGTTCCTTCCAACGCCCTAACACTCCATCAGTTGAGGTCAACAACGTCCCATCCTTACAGTGCACAGCTTGGATGGTTCCCTGCTTCCCCCTCCTGAGGTGTCAGACAGTTTTCCAGAACAAATTTGGTGCCTCCCGAAAGTCAATACAATATGCAAAAAGTTATTAATAATAATAATAGAAAAAAGCAATTATGATAAATTACTTCCTTTTTTTTAAATCCAAGAAATACCTTTCAAATGTAAATAATAAATAAATAAATATGCTTTTGTTTGTTTAATGCAGAAGAGAATGCAGGACTTTGACTTAATATTTGGTACTACTTATGGATGTTCACTTAACTTTCTTATGTTTGATCCTTCGTTATTGATCCTCTTTAAATATATACTCTAACGTATTGCTTGAATTTATTTTCCTTTGTGATTCTCAGTTTCTTTCTGTATTTCCAACCTACCCGCTCCCCTCCTCGTCCATTTCTTGCTTTGACTCACATCATCATCATCTGTTATCAAGCAGAGCATGGACAAAGCCACTAAAAGAAGGCAATGCAACTTCTCCTCCTCTTTCCATCTCTCTTTGCTTCCTTTCCTTCCTTTTCTCCCCCTCTCTCTGTCGCCCACGTTGGCGTCCTGAGAGCCTCCAATCAATCAGCGTCTGAGAGGGTTTTATTTTTAGAGCGACTGCAGCCAAGTGGGAGGGAAACAGAGAGATGGAGGGAGGAAAGAACACATGGAGAAACATTATTTTAACTGCAGATGGAAAGAAATAAACAATGGTGTAAGGGTGTAAGGAGTGGGGAGTTAGGGAGAACAAGTCAGAACATTTACATCTGAACAAGGGACAAAGGTACAAAAGTAAAAAGGGAATGTAGATATGATGAAGTGTCAAATATTTGTTAGAGAAAAAGAAAACCGATAAATCATCCCCATCTCTTAGTTTCGTGAGTTTTTCTTTTTTTTGTATAGCTGTGTTTAAAAAAAGAAATATTCTGCCCTTTCTGTAACATTTGTACTGTATTATTTTGAAATTCAAATGATTTACGATATTACCTAATCAAATTAATCATTTTATTTAAAAAATAAAAACATTGGGAAGAATAAGGAAAAATAGACAAATGTTCTTTATTTATTTTGGATTTATTAACATATAAAGACAGAAGTAATAAAAAAAGTAAATGTATAAGAAAATCATTTTAAATATATATTTTTGACATTGGTGATGTAGCAATAAATAAAGTGCTGATGTCAACGAAAATGTAATTTAAAAAATGAGGATATCAAGGAGAAATAAACCTGAGAGTTGCCAAGGCAACATGTCGCTCTCATCGTGTTTGGCTGGTCGCTCGGCAACAGTTGGCGGGAGCAACCCCTCCATCAGCATCTGGAAATAACTCCACGCTGCAAAAAATAAATATAAAGAGAAAATAAGAAAACAGGAAAAGAAATGCAGGGTGAGAGGATTTATAGACATCGGTGACTCTGAAATATCCAATTAGTGCTGTCAACTCTATTTTGACTAATTCTAATCGTTTTATTGACAGGACCATTATGACACACAGTAGTGCCAAAGCACCATTTAAACAGACACCTATACATAGACCTATGGGTTAAACCGTTGTCCATCAAAAGAATGAAGGTGTTTTCTTTTCACCTTTTTTTTCTTTTTCTTTTTTAAATGAAAGCATAAATTCAACAAAAAAACACTTACATAACTTTTGAATATTGTGCAGGAGACAACATTGCTTAGAGTGATCATGAAGTTTTAAACTAAATATTCTTTTTTTTGTTTAATCACTTACACATTGATATGATGATATTCATAGACATATTCGTAGTGCACTGCAACATGTTGTCTATGTGTAGGTCCTGCATTCAACATTTCACTTAAAAGCAATTTCAGAAATAAATCTTGTGGAGTAGAAATATATAAAGTAGCAAAACATGAAAATACTTAAGGAGAGTACAAGTATCTTAAAGCTGTCCTGAAGTATATGTCAGTATTTACCTGAAACAGTCTCCAGGTCCGTAAAAAATAAAAGAGCTGGTCATCTTTTACAGCGTACAGCCTTTCTCTCACATCCCACTGAACATAATAACAACAGGTGGTAACCGTGGCGATGGGCTGGTTTCAGGTGTGATTGATGGACAGCCCGCCCCCCTCAGAATAAAGTGTCTCTGAGGAAGGAAGTCCATTTAAGGGCGTGTTGATCCTTCATTGATAAACAACAACGTCCCCGTTTCCATAGCGGCTAATTTCCTGCTAAAAGGAGGGAGTGGCTTTTATTCACTATCTCACTTTAAGTGCAGGAAGTGTGCAGCACGTCGTCTTGGTGACGGAGGAGCAGAGAAACTCACATTTTACACAGAGAGGCAGAAAATCCTGCAGTAGCAAGTTACTGCAGGAATATTATACAAAAGGGCTGAAATGAACACTATATGGACAAAATAATGTGGACACCTTTATGTTCATCCTTCTTTCCCATAAAAAACATTTATATGATAGATGCACAATTAACAGTGTAATTGTAATGTGTCTAATTCATATGTATTATCTTTTTTGAATGACAAATCACCACTGCTGGCACTATTTGTATTTCTTTCTTTTTGTGTGTTTATTCTCAAGGCAACCTTCAAAGGCTGGATGGATATCATGTATGCAGCGGTGGATTCACGAGCTGTAAGTCTAAGATTCTTCATTTGAATTTGTTTGTACAATTGTGAGGTTGTATTCTCATGTCATCATACTGCGTGTGTCTGTTATGTGATTTTTTTGCCTGTTTTTAATATAAAATGATCTGTAAATAAAAACTCATAATATATTAAAAGACTATAATTTCAGAAAATTACAAAACAGTGGAATAAAAACATGGAAAAAATATATACATAAAAAGACAAGATGTGGGGAAATAAAGCTTGTGAATTTAAATATTTTTCATTTTTAACATAATGCTGTTGAAGAATAACTAAACTATAATAAAGATGGCATGATTTTAGTTGAGGTGAAAACATTTAAAATAAGACGGAAAGTAATTAATTTAAAGCTGAAATGGTATGACTATTAAAGGTCAACATGATGTTTAGAAGGGTGTGTATTCCTTTTATTAAATGATGTTATTCCCTGTCAGGTGGAGGAGCAGCCCATCAAAGAGATCAATCTGTACATGTACCTTTACTTCGTCATCTTCATCATCTTCGGCTCCTTCTTCACCCTCAACCTCTTCATTGGAGTCATCATTGACAACTTCAACCAGCAGAAACGAAAGATGAGTACCACAGAGGGAAAACTAAAATAATACTCGTAAAAAAGCATAATAAATAATACACAGACATGTTTTCACACCGAAGAACTGATGCTTTTTATATGAACATGAAATGCATATTTCTTTTAAATATTGATCATATTTTAGAACGGACTGAACTATTGTGACAATACCAATGGACCACATATAAATATATCTGTGCACAAAAATATAAACGCATCACTCTTGTTTTTGCTCCCATTTTTCACATGGTTAAATGTAATAGCTAAGACTTCTCATATGCAGGCAAAAGACTTATTTTTCTCGAAGTAACTATGGTCACTAATTTAGGCCACTTTTTAGAGTGCCTTTTATTTTGAAGAGCCCCAAGCACACAGGCTTGATAATCGTAGAAATACAAAGGGCTTTACTTGCACATGTTTCTTGATTTACCATTTCAGTCATTTAAGATCTGTTTTCATTCATCATGGGATGATAAGACAATGTTTTGAGGCAAATAGTTTCTGTAAAATAACAGTTTTTGCTGTTTGTCTCTTCACTTAGGAGGACAGGACATCTTCATGACGGAGGAGCAGAAGAAATATTATAACGCCATGAAGAAACTCGGCTCCAAAAAACCACAGAAACCCATCCCCAGACCTACGGTACCCACACACAGTTTACTGTCTTTATTTTAAAGACACGTCCTAATTAGAGGAAGTTAAGAATAAAGGCTTGTCTCAGCCAATGATGCATAAGAAAAATATATTTAAAAAAAAAAGCTAAACAATCGGTTTTTCTGTGCAGAACTCTGTGCAGGGCTTCTTCTTCGACCTGGCGGGGAAGCAGGCCTTCGACATCATCATCATGGTGCTGATCCTCTTCAACATGATCACCATGATGGTGGAGACGGACGAGCAGTCCCCACAAATGGAGTACATCCTGAACAAAATCAACCTGGCCTTCATCATCGTCTTCACCTTCGAGTGCTTCGTCAAGATTGTGGCGCTGCGCTGCTACTTCTTCACCGTCGGCTGGAACATCTTCGACTTCGTGGTCGTCATCCTCTCCATCGTCGGTGAGGAAAAACTGAGTATCCAGGGGCAACAATCTCTGGAAATGGAGTATTATTAGCATGGGAAAATATTTTCTACATAACATTAGATTAGAATTACTTTATTGTATCCAAGCTGGGAAATAGTTTTGTTACAGCAGCATGTTGACAATGCATTGCACAAAAGTGCATAATACAATTAACCTGTTAAGCCCCGAGCCTGTTTTTCAGGTCTCAGGCTCGAAAATGACATTCCCAGAACAAATGACCATATCTTCCCTTCTAAAAGGGTTAAGTTAATAATCTTTTTTCTGAAAGCAAGGTTACATCTGTGAGTTGGATGTAGAAGTGTCAGAATCAATATAGATGTTTTTATTTTAAAGTAAATTCAGATTGAACACAGTAAAAAAAATGTAAATGATTGTCCTGATAAGTACTTATAGTGAAAAAAACAAACACCCTTGAATGATGGGATGGTAGACTAAAAGCTTTAGGAATCAAAACTACAATATATAATAAGTACCCTGTATCAAGATTGATGCAAAAAAAAGTGAAATTTGACCTTTTTAGAGAGATTTAGCAAAAAAATACCACTTCTGGGGTCATTTGGGTGGATTTGACCTATCTCTGGCCCCCCTTGCTCGATTTTGCTGATTGACATCTCTTTATAACCGTCAGAGCCAATGGAATCGAGGGGAACTCCCACATACTCCTTATTTGGTAATGTGTGTGAGTGAGAATGCCGCATAGCCAAAACCGGAAGCTGCGATAACTCTGGTGACTACCATTAGCAGCTAACTTTTACTCTCCGATTTTTACATAAAAATGGAATTATGGATTATAAATAAAAAATAATATTCTACAGAAACATTATCAACCTGTGGATTAACCGATTCAGCCGCGTTTTTTCTCGTTTTAATGCCATTGAACAAGTCTTTTGATCAGATTGACAGCTAAAGTGAGACGATCTCCCGTAAAAGCTCCGTAAAGGTACGTGTTGTGATGTCTGAGTTAGCTTCCCCTGTCGCGAGTTCGGATCACTTAGTGATGATACTATACCTAAATAATCTGTGGAACCTCAGTTTTAATCGGATATCTTGTATGTGCAGCTACGATAAGTAATAAGGGTATCTTTTATCTTGAGTTCTGTGCCAAAGTGCGTTAGCATTTTTCGCTCAGGGGTCATGCTTCTTATGAGACTTGTGTTTTGTATCATCAGTTAGCAGAGATTATTCCCGTTAATCTGGTATAACACATTAATAGGTTCTTAAATATTAAGATCCCCTGAGACACAGTGTTGTGAAAAAAAAAAGTACCTGCCGAGGGGGATCTTGGGGCTTAACAGGTTAAGTACAAATTAAAATAACCAGTAAATATATACATATCAACAGCCAGAGACATATAAAGAAATACATATTTATTTGTATATATTTAAATTCAATAATGAAGGCACATAAGGCACATCCACAGGGGCAATGTGGTTGTGAAAAAATTAAAAGTGCACAAAAGAAAATATTTTCATGTCTGTGAAACATAGCAAATACATTATGGTTAATACAGTTATTGTTTCCTTCATTTGTACACTGACTAAAACAGACAGGAAATAAAACGGATAGAACGGAACTGGTTGGAAACACATTCTACAAAATATTCAATTCTAAGTAATAATAGTAAAATAACAAAATTATATCACAAATAATAGTCAAACAGCCTAGGAAATGTGTATTAATCAATCAAATTAAAGTTAATAATATATCCCCAATATCACAAATGTCCCATTTGTCTCAGAGGGGTTTACAGTTTATACAGTATACGTCACCCTCTGTCAATAGACCCTCTATTTATGCTTAGAAAATTGTACTGCAGTACACTTATACAGTAATAATAATTAGTAATTATATTATTATTTTTATTTCACAGTAAAATATCTGAATACTTCCTCCACCACTGTATATATAGAGCACAACGCACCTGTGTGTGTGCGTGTGTGTGTGCATGTGTGTGAGTCTGCCTCAGAATCATCTGGCAGCTAAGTGTCCATCCGCTGGCCTTGATGTTTCCCTGCACCATGCACCAAGGTCCTGTGTGCTCATAACACACACACGCTTCAAACACACATGATACACACACCTACCTAAGCAGGTCATTTAGCTATCAGTGTTGTGACAGGTGTGTGTGTGTGTGTGTGTGTGTGTGTGTGTGTGTGTGTGTGTGTGTGTGTGTGTGTGTGTGTGTGTGTGTGTGTGTGTGTGTGTGTGTGTGTGTGTGTGTGTGTGTGTGTGTGTGTGTGTGTGTGTGTGTGTGTGTGTGTGTGTGTGTGTGTGTGGTGTGTGTGTGTGTGTGTGTGTGTGTGTGTCCGTGTCCGTGTGTGTCCGAGGGAGGTGAAGGTAACAGCAGCAATCAGACCTGCCAGAGGGTGCTCCCTGTGGGCAAATCAAACGTGATTGACCTGTTAAACCTGTGTGTGTGTGTGTGTGAGGGAGGGAGGGAGGTGTCAGGAGGGGGGGCTGATGTACGGCACGATGGTGATTCCCTCTCGACTCCCCCCCGCTCATCACCCATAACTCAGCAGGGGAGACGGGGGAAAGATGGAGGCATGGGGGGGTCTGTTTTATCACTCCGGGGTAACAGGGAGGAGACGGATGAGTTACGGTGTTTGACTCGCCGTTAGTGCGCAGACACAGCTCATTTCTCCACATCCAATCACTCACGCTGTAATCATAAAGACGGAAACATCTGAACGGAGAGCTTTTAGATGATGTAACTCACAGAAATGTCCTCAAATAAAAGAAGATCAACTAATAGTCCTCAGCCAATCGATTTCAGCCCATTTAGTTCCTCCTGTGCGTCTCTGCAGATACACATCCTGCAAAAGACCCTTTAAAAGTCATATTTAAGGACTATTTTACTCCTAAAAGATAATTTGTCACAATCACACTCTCCATGATACCTTAAATTCTTGAAGAAAACTTTTATTGCATTATTGAAGAATCACAAAATGTCTTGATGAATTGAATGCAAAACTGTATGCAAACATCTGTTTACACACGCTTACACAACTCATGCAGTATAATCCAAGTCTCATTCATCCAGCTGAATGCCAAACATAAAATGTAGTTATTTATTCCTTTTTCTGTTTTTCAGGTATCGTTCTTGCGGACATCATTGAGAAGTACTTTGTGTCACCAACGCTGTTCCGAGTGATCCGGTTGGCCCGTATCGGACGTGTTCTGCGGCTCATCCGAGGCGCTAAGGGCATCCGGACGTTATTGTTTGCCCTCATGATGTCCCTCCCTGCGCTCTTCAACATCGGGCTCCTCCTCTTCCTTGTTATGTTCATCTACGCCATTTTTGGCATGGCGAACTTTGCCTACGTGAAGCGCCAGTCAGGCATCGATGATATGTTCAACTTCGAGACATTTGGGAACAGCATGATCTGTTTGTTCCAGATCACCACCTCCGCGGGGTGGGACAGCCTCCTGAGCCCCATCCTCAACAACTCGCCCGAGGAGTGCAACGCCAGCATCCCCCACACGGGCACCACCGTGAAGGGTAACTGCGGCAACCCATCGGTGGGCATCACCTTTTTCGTCACCTACATCATCATCTCCTTCCTCATCGTGGTGAACATGTACATCGCCATCATCCTGGAGAACTTCAGCGTGGCCACGGAGGAGAGCACGGAGCCGCTGAGCGAGGACGACTTTGAGATGTTCTATGAAGTTTGGGAGAAGTTCGACACCGAGGCCACGCAGTTCATCGAATATGCCAAGTTGTCCGATTTTGCAGACACGCTGTCAGAGCCTCTGCGCATCAGCAAGCCTAATAAGATCAAACTAATCTCTATGGACCTTCCCATGGTCAGCGGGGATAAGATCCACTGCCTGGACATCCTCTTTGCATTCACAAAGCGCGTCCTGGGCGAGTCAGGCGAGATGGACGCCCTAAAGCAGCAGATGGAGGAGAAGTTCATGATGGCAAACCCATCCAAGATCTCCTACGAACCGATAACAACGACTTTGAGGCGAAAACAGGAAGACGTGTCGGCCGCCGTGATCCAAAGGTGCTACCGGAGGCACCTGATTCGGCGGCAGCTGAAGGCCGCCTCTTACTTATACCGCCAGATCACGACACCTCGGCACGCGGGGGGTGAAGCAGAAGAAGGAAGCGAGGGGGTGTTGGTGGACGACGCACCTGAGAAAGAAGGGTTGATTGCCACCATGATGAGGGAAAACTATGGCTCGAGTTTATTAGCAATGGAGTGCTCTGAGACTATTTCCGCAACCTCCTCCCCGCCATCCTACGACAGTGTGACGCGAGCCACATCGGAGATATTTCACCCGCTCGCCGCCAAGACAGAAACTATTGCCATTGACACCCTGGACAGCGAACCAAGCGAACGATTACCGTCGTTGGACAGACAGCAGGACACCGTACCATAGCGCGAAGCAAATTGCAAAAAAATCCTAGTTTTGGGTTCGTCCTTTGTTTACTGAATGTACCATAGCTGAGAAACGCTGAGGAAGGCGGCAAAAAGGGGAGCTAGGAGGAGTTGCTTAAAAGAACAAAGAGGAATATTTACTACCTTTTAATGTTATTTCCTGTTCCCTGTGGAGATTCCTGGGCTCATTTTGGGAGTTTCTCAAAGGGAACTGCAAAGACGGAGAGGAAAACCCTGTCTGCCTTTGTTGGAGTAAAAGACACAAGATCCCTTCTTGGATCATTCAACTAAAGTCGAGGGTTCGCAAAACAATGACTGACCTTTGACCTCAGCTACAACTATATCAGATGTATCCATCATTTATTGGCCTGGGGGGGTTTGTGCATTCCCGCAGTTGATCAATATTCTCAGATTATGCCTGGTCGTAGGAGGGGCGGTGTTCCTGGTGGTGTTTCTCGAAACGTTCTGACTGACTGAGACTCGAGAGGAGGGAAAACAATGAATTTTAACAAATGTTTTCGTAGTAAAAAGTATAACTTTGTTGATGTTACCAGTCTTTTAATAGCGGTACGATTATTACTATTTTTTATATTTTTTAGAGTAAGTTGACCATAAAAAGCAGTATCTCTCTTGGATTGGCACTAGCCTTGAGAGAGTGGCTGAACTACCACTTTGTAATAGACGAGAGGAGAGGGTGCGGTCAGGATAAAAACTAAAACCTGAAAAGCAACTTCATCAGTTTTTTGTTCTGAGTTTTTTGCACTATAAGTTTACATGTGCTGTCACTTTAGCACACCTGGGCAAAGACACATTGAAAAGGGACCAGGGGTGTATTTATTTTTCCTCTGAAAACCTTTGAGATAACACCAAAACAAAATGAATACAAGTGCACAATGAGATTTTCAACACACTCTTGGACTCTTGCAACATGTGTTTTGCCCTGGTGGTGAACATCTTCTTTTCTGTCCGTTTTTACGCCGCTGGGTGATTTTTCGAAAAGTCCTTCTGAAACTTTACGAACAGAAAACTCATATTCCAGCTGCATTATTACACTGCATGAGAAAATAAATAAAGTTTACTGACTTGTAGTCAAAGCTAATCTATGACGTTGGATTTGGCTAGAATACAATTGTCCGTTATGTTGTCAAAAGTTGAGTAAAATGCCATTAAACCCTTTATCAATTTAATTTATTCTTATGCACCTTTATCAAAAATATATAATTGATCAGGCTTTGCTAAAGAAAAATGCTAATTGATTTATGACAGACATTCATATCATAACACCTCAGGTTGATTTCACTTTTTCATTTCAAAGTGGGGTAAATAATGTTAAATGTAGTTAAAAGGACCAGACTTTTGGTTTGAGACAAGCTTGGCGAAGATGCCAATAATACAAAATAAGTTTAAGCCTGCAACAAACCTTCAGTCTTTGCATTTTACCAACTGAACAAAGAGATATATTCATGCAAGAATATATTACAAAATACACGTCAGGCTTTTTAATTCCACAAATAACGTTTTTCCTCTCAGTGGATTAATGCTACTGTAAGAACTATACAACGACTTTTTTGACAAATCACCCACTATCATTATCTATCCTATCTGGTTTGGGTTTGGATCGGCCAAACACAAGATCTTAAGCCAAAGTCTCGAGGCTAAATGAGCTAAAGATGTTTGAGGTGTCGACCAGCCATGACCAGATTGTGATCAACTCAGCACATTTTACATGTTTAATTTATGAAAAGCTTCATCATTTTTGCATTAGATCAGTCACCAGTGTCGTGGAAAAACGTTGTCTTTGAAACACAAACCTATGCAGCTACTATTTGTATTATATGTTTCAAAATATTAGTCAGAAACAATTGAGCTATTTCAGATTGAAATCCAGACAAGGAGCAACTTTCCTATTACTTTACAAGCTCAATCTTGCTTAGACCAAAAGTTATAGTTACTGTCATTGGATAACTGAGAATGAACAACAAATGCTCAAGACTCAGTGCCATAACTTTGTTCCAAAGCCCCATTATTCCAAACCCCAATTGTTCGAAAAATGTCCTGTTGACATGACCGGAGACCCATTTGTAAAGAGCCCAGAATCCCAAAAATAGAGACGCATTTTTTAGAAATAGAAATAGGATTTTGTAAATGCTCCATTGGAAAAACAGGCCATTGGGAAAATGTGCCATGAGGAAAATAGCCAGGGTTTGTCTGTGTTAAACCAAAATATACCTAGGAGTCATTTAAAGATGGCCGCTGCTGAGCAAGTTTTCCAGAACACTGATGTGACGGCGCTTGAAGCTTTTATGTTTCCTCTAAATTCTACGAAGAGTTTCTTTTCAGAAGCGAAGGAACAAATTGATAAACTCGGATTCATATTTAGACTTTATTCACAAGTTTCATTTGTTATTAAAAAAAAAAAAAATGTATGCACGGTTTTACAAATGATCTTTCCTGGGGCAGGTCAACCCAGAGTAGGCCTACAGTTGTATATACAGTATACATATTTTAGCGTAAAAATGATCGATATCAAAGTGATATCCCATTTTGAAAAGAGACTCTTCTATTCAAATCACCTTGTTATTTATTTATTTATTGAGTTTTTTTCAGATTGATTGCTTTATTTTATTTAAGATTTTTTAATTATTTTGGCACGCTTTAGCTGCATCCAGAAAGATTTCGAGCGAGACAGCTCTTTATCCATTTTGCACAGAGAAACAAAAAGAAAGGGGGGGGGATAATGGCGCGTCTAGCAATAATGGTTTGCCGATACCCTTTCAAGTGGAAAACATTTGACTTCACTGAAGTTTTCTCACTGTATGAATCTGAGGAGTAATGATTGCCACAAAAACACGATGTACACACAGGTGCATACAGTGTCACCAGGCCGATGTGAAGCAGTGTTTGCGCTTGTTTTTATTAAGATGAAGTGTCAAAGTGTGTGTGTACAGTCTGCTTTGATCTCAATATTTCGAACAACCTCTCTCTCTCTGTCTCTGTTGTCGTGGTCACCCGAGGGATATTTACTAAGCGCTTTACTAGACTTTAGAAAAGTAACAAAAAAAAACAAAAAAAATCAGTTTTACTGGCACCGTCTGGACTCTATTTCTACTAGATTCTATTGAGAATAGACAACCATATAAACTAGGTAAATACTTAAGACACTGCTGAACTCTGCTGTGAGGCGTATTTCAGGTTGCAGTTGTGCTGAAGGGCTTTTCAGTAGCAATAGACCCAGAGTGTGCCTGCTACATATGACCCCACACCCCAAGCCATGCTCTCATTGGTTGACTGATAAAGTGCTTGATTGGCAGACTGGTTGAGGCTTTGATTTCTTGACTGGCAGACTGAGTGATTATTTGACTGGTCGGTTGGCTGATTTATGAAATTATTCTTATGCTTTTTGATATTGAACGAGGTTCGTCCCCCTCTATCACCGCTGTGACTCTTCCTCGTAAAGTTGTCCAACAAACAGCACAGAGAGCTGATTGGCTGATTTGGTTCTCTATTTTTTACTTAAAGGTCAAAAAGCTTCAGATTTGCTAAAGACTACAGGAAAAAAAAGTGCATTTTGCCCCTTTTTTTTGGATTTAGGGGATTTTTTCTCGCAGTACTGTGAGGGGCCAATGGTGGAAATTGGCAGCTTAAAAGAGTACTTATTTATTTATCAGTTACTCACCTAGTTTCATTTTAATGCATGGAAGAAAGTTTTGCTTTTCTCACATCCTAACACGAACAAAGTTGTGTGGAATTGAAGTGTTGTGGCCAAGTTCAGCAACTTCCAAACTTTCTTAAACACATGCATTTGAACTTAAATCTTGCTATTCAAAAACACTTCTGCACAGACAGTCTAATGCACAGACTTGCAGCGACCTTGCACAACATAAAACACAAGTTGAAGAAGAGTTTCAAATGATAAGATTTAAGTAAAATGCCTGTTTTGGGGAAATAGTGAGCATATAACGGGATTAATAAGACCTGGATAATAATACAGTCCTGAAGTGTTTGCAAGTTTGTAAACATATGCTAAAGATTTGCTTTTGTTAAACCTGGACTTGATCTATTTCCATTTCCCGTTGAGGCATGTGGGAAAAGCAACGTTTTTTCAAGTATTAATCGTAACACACGTTGAGTAACTGATTAAAATGGTCATTTTAAGGTTAAACTGTTCCACTCTATCTCACAATGTCACTTCTTAAGCAACAGCAGAGGAACAAAATGCACAACGTTGGCCTCCCAGTGTAACTTTAGTGAATCTGGAACTCTAGACTCTGGTTTGCACTGAGCACAAAAACACAGTCAACATTTACTGTCAGTATCAGGGCAGTACGTGGTACAACATCAGCTCTCCGTACATGAACTGCACTCTGACGACTCACTACTGGCGGGAAAAACCTTCAAAATAACCCCCGACATGTCACTGTCACTTTACTTTCTGTTGCGATTTGGACGAATTAAAGCAAAAAACTCTTATTTTGGAGGAAAACTGCCACCTTTGCTCTGAGCTTCGGGTCGGTCCATGTGGTGCTACCAAGGGGTTCGGAAGAGTCCAAATTAAGATTGGAGGGGGGGGGGGGGGGAGTGTTAAAACACAAACTGAGAATCTGCCTTCTTTTACCCGTTTCAAAACCAAAAGCTGCTTTGTCACCTTCAAAATAAAACGATCTGCGGAATCAACACGGAGGAAATGCACAGAAAACAAGTTTCATTGTTCATTATTATTACTATTGTTACTATAAACTGTGTGATAAATGCAATACAACAGTTATGTAAACAGGCAGTGAGTGATGCTGTATCTAATTTACAGAATGAGGATAATAACGATGATGTTTTTACTGTTTTTCGTCGTCATTAATTTGCTTTTTTCCAAGCGTTCTCTCACTGCTTATTAACCACGTCGCCCCGTTTACACTGAGCTGGTTTCACAACAGTTGTTCAAATCTCTCTGGCTTCATATCAGTTCCACAGAAACCTCATATCTCAAGAAAGATGCCTTTTTTCAGATTATGTCAAATGTTACCGCTCCTGACACCTCGTGAATTGTCCTTATTCCAGCAAGAAAATTGGGGAAATTCATCAAAAATGTCTACAAAAAGCGAATGGAAAAATATAAAAAGTTGGAGATAAGAGGTTTCTAGAAACAAACGGTTTGCTGTGGTTTTTGCTGAAAATGCAGATGCACATTATATTTGGAGGATGAAAACCTTGTAAATCAAATAATAATTCAATTCTCCATCACTGAGAACTGAATGCTTAAAAAAAAAGTATATTTCCAAAACAAGTTACTAGGTTTTCCTCCGACCTCTCGCTCTGCAGCCGTTGTTAAAGTTGTGTGAAACCTCAGTGTAAAGAGGGCGGACGCCGTGCCTCAGTGACCCCACCTTGGTGTTTTAGAGACAATAATAATAACTACAATGATTATGATATGAATATATATATATATATATATATATATATATATATATATACTTTTTAGTACTTTGAGTTGAAATACTTTTTAGTATTTTGCAAATACATGTCTCTGTATATAAAAAACAAAAGCCTCCTGTAATAAATGAGAACAAAATTTAATACTGAAACTGTTGTGATGGCTTTATTTTTAAGGGTTAAAGTGTGATCAAAATCACTAAACATGGTACGACTTGTTGTTTGAAACTAAATCTGAAGGATGACCTAAACTGCTTCACCTGACAGTTACTTTTCAGATTACAGTTTTAAACGAAAGCCGTTTATCTGAATTTGAACGTTTGTGATTCACTGAAGATTTTCCTAGATCTTAAGCTAAATAAACTTTATCTGTAAGAAAAATATATATTTTCTGAAATGTGAACAAATAAATTGTTAAATATGTGAAAATGATTCGTTATATGTGAAAATGTCCCAAAAAGACGTGTTAATTAAAGGATAGACATGGGACGAATGTAAAAAACAAAAATGTCAACAAACTATCCCTTATAAACTATCCGAAAAATGCTATCTAAGAAAAGGTTGGTAAGACATTGTCACAAAGCTGAAAACAGGGCTGTCTTTCTGAGAAACTCTGGAAAAGTGGATTCTTTTGAGATTTGACACTGCAGGTACAAAGGGAATCTTCCGGATATCTCATGTTAGGTAAAAGGGGTTTTAGCTAAATAAATTATTGGAAAACTGATACAGACATCTCGTCTTCTCAGGTATTTGGCACTCAGTATCTCTCAAAGCATGCAGGGTAATATTGGGCCCTGTGGCAGATTGCTTTTGCACACCGCCTCGACTCTGCACGCTCGTCTGCATCCGTCTCTCTGCTGCTTCCACCCTCAGTATCATTGTGTGTCTGTGCGTGTGCACGGCATTTGCCTGCATGTGTTTGTGTGTGTTAGAGTAGATTGAGGGTGACACTTGAAGCTGCTGCTGCTTCAGGTCAACAAATTCCATGAAAAGACTAAAACCAACAGTGAATACACTTCAAAACAAGTGGTTTCGCCGTTTATAAGTATGTGTTTGAGTGAACTTAAAACATTTGTATTCATTCTAAACAATATTGAGAACACCTTAGTGTCAAAATAGTGTCATCTAAAGAAGTTATTTACAAAGAATGGCAACTCATTAAAGGAACATATCTCTAATGTCTTGACTTCGGATCGGTTGAATAATGCTAATTTAAAATCAGCTCTTTCTCCTATTTAATTGTCACAGTTGAGAAGCATAAAAACAATACAATTATTGAATTGGTACTGAATACATACAGAAAACAAGATGTCCTCTATGAACTGCCCTGTTGCCCTTGAGCAAGGCGCTGCACGGTGTGTGTGTTTGTGTGTTATGTAACCCTGTCTCTGGCCACACACACAGAGAGAGGGTGCCAGAGTTCCTCAGCATATGTTGAACGGAGCATCCCCATCTGTCCTGCCAAAGAACAGAGTACTCTCTTAAAGGAACAGTTAATAGGTTAACAGGTTTATATTTCACACTGTTCAAAACTCACACCTAAGCTATAGATATTCATATTTAGGAATATTTGTGTTATTGCTGGGCTAGAAAAAATACTACAATGATTAATTGATCATCAAAATGGCCAGTCATCTTAAATAATCCATCTATATGTTAGGTGTAAGAATCAGGCTCACAAATTGGTGAACTGCCCCTTTAAATGAATTGGCGACAATATTGTTTGCATTGATCCGTAACAGTAAATTACCTGATCAATATGCACTTCTATTTAATTCGAAATATCCCTGATTGACACACACCACACATATACACAAAAGCTCACACACATTTATATAAACATAAACAGAGCCACTCTGCTGACCTCAGCTGACACCTGTCAGTTTGTTTTAAAAGTTGACTTCTGGACCACAGGGACATACACACACACATCTGTTTCTGTTTAGCCTTCAGTTGTTCTGTTCAGTACAGCCCCACAGGGAGGGAAAACACCCTAGGTCGCGTGTGTGTGTGTGTTTGAATGGTTACGAGCTCATTATTTAAATTTGCATTACACAAATCGGGATCTAGGCTGGTTCATAGTGCAAAGCTTACATTGTGTCCCATGTTCTCTTCACTTGCTATGATATGATGATATGAAACAGTGATAGTTTAATGCAGTGATCAGTTCCTTCTTGCAGCAAAAAATGTGCCACTATTGACGTGATAAAAATAACCTTAAATTGTAAAGAACAAACTGTTATTTGGGGGGGGATTTTCAACTGTTGGTTAAAAAAAAAAGAAATCTTTGTCCCATTTTTATTTCCATCTTCTTCTTCATCTCTGGGTGTGATCGTTCTGACTTGCCCCTCTCTGCTGGTTAAGATCAAACAGTGACAAAGACACGTGCACACACACACACACACACACATAAAGTATATGCAGGACAGTTGCTGATGCAGCATAAAGTCTGTGATGTCATTCGTTTCTTTAAGGGCTTAGTCATGAAACACACACACAATCGCTATGACGTGTGTGTGTGTGTGTGTGTGTGTGTGTGTGTGTGTGTGTGTGTGTGTGTGTGTGTGTGTGTGTGTGTGTGTGTGTGTGTGTGTGTGTGTGTGTGTGTGTGTGTGTGTGTGTGTGTGTGTTGTGTGTGTGTGTGTGTGTGTGTGTGTGTGTGTGTGTGTGTGTGTGTGTGTGTGTGTGTGTGTGTGTGTGTGGTTTGTTTTTATTCTACAGACTGTCTTGGATGGAAATGAATTACCATGCCTCTGTCCTCCTCTTCTTTTGTAAGAAATGTTTGGGAGTCCCGTGGGAGACCTTTACACATGTGTTTGTGTGTGTGTGCACCTGTGTCTGCCTGTGTCTGCCTGTGTCTGCCTGTGTGTGTGTTCTGCATCGCCATGGCAGCATGGTGTTGATGAGGTCCCATGGCGAGCGAGGTAGAAAGAGGAGTGTGTTCCATGACCTCTCAAGAGGGACATCAAACACTTTGTGTCTTGAAGAAAGACTGTCTAACTGATGGCTAAAAAGAGATGTAAAACAACCACAAAGAGAGGCGGAACAACTGCCAAGTGATGCAAACAGGCACAACTACAAAGAGACACTCAGAGTAAGACACACAATGAGATGCAGGAGGACCAAACAAATAGGTGCAAAACAACCACAATGAGATTTAAAACAACCATAAAAAGATACGCAAATGATCGCAAAGAGAAATGACAAAACAGATGCAATCACAAAGGTAATGATACTGAAATAGGCATTTCATTGATGATACCAAGGAAAGCAGGCTGGAAACAAACCAACAGTGTGCTGGCGAGTCCTACTTCTCCCAGAAAACGACAAAAAACCTGAAAGGACAGAAAGACAGGAAGGAGGACTGAAAGAGAAAGAGTTGAATGTCAAGCCCACACTAATTGTTTCTATTTTAGAAAGCGAGCTGCTTTCAGACTGATTTGAGGAGTCGGTGTAAAAGTGACCTAAAAACAAAGCAGAGAGCCGGCTGACGCTCAGTGATAACACACACACACACGTATATGGATGCAATACTCATTCTGATGCAAGCTACCCAAAATATTGATTATCTTTTGCATTCATCCTCATTAACTATTATCATCATTTTCTTAATCATCAGCAACACAGTCGAAAAGACAAGAAAAGGCAAGCAGAGGAGAAGGAGAGAAACAAAGGTAAGAAGTGGGCAAATAAATGGCTCCATGGAGTCAGGACGTTTTCTCCACTGGAAAGCCCCTTTTCATATATTCACCTCTTGACAGGGACCATAGACGTTATATATAAGATATCATGTTTCTCCACTAGAAGAGTATCATAGATGATATTTATTCATGTCTTCTGCACTGGTAGTGTGCCACCAAGGGCACCCTAGAGGGCACGTTATCACATTTTCTCCACTGGAAAGGAACCCTGGAGGGCAATCTGTCATATTTTCTCCACTGGAGGGGCAACTGCATCATGTGTTCCCCATCTGAGGGGCTAGCTAAATGGCAGGATATCATGTTTTCTCAACTGCAGGGGCCCTCTAAAGGGCACTATCATGTTTTCTCCACTGGAATGTAACTTAGAGAGCTCCACTGGAATGTAACTTAGAGAGCTCCACTGGAATGTAACTTAGAGAGCTCCACTGGAATGTAATTTAGAGAGCTCCACTGGAATGTAACTTAGAGAGCTCCACTGGAATGTAATTTAGAGAGCTCCACTGGAATGTAACTTAGAGAGCTCCACTGGAATGTAACTTAGAGAGCTCCACTGGAATGTAACTTAGAGAGCTCCACTGGAATGTAACTTAGAGAGCTCCACTGGAATGTAATTTAGAGAGCTCCACTGGAATGTAACTTAGAGAGCTCCACTGGAATGTAACTTAGAGAGCTCCACTGGAATGTAACTTAGAGAGCTCCACTGGAATGTAACTTAGAGAGCTCCACTGGAATGTAACTTAGAGAGCTCCACTGGAATGTAACTTAGAGAGCTCCACTGGAATGTAATTTAGAGAGCTCCACTGGAATGTAATTTAGAGAGCTCCACTGGAATGTAACTTAGAGAGCTCCACTGGAATGTAACTTAGAGAGCTCCACTGGAATGTAATTTAGAGAGCTCCACTGGAATGTAACTTAGAGAGCTCCACTGGAATGTAATTTAGAGAGCTCCACTGGAATGTAATTTAGAGAGCTCCACTGGAATGTAACTTAGAGAGCTCCACTGGAATGTAATTTAGAGAGCTCCACTGGAATGTAACTTAGAGAGCTCCACTGGAATGTAATTTAGAGAGCTCCACTGGAATGTAACTTAGAGAGCTCCACTGGAATGTAACTTAGAGAGCTCCACTGGAATGTAACTTAGAGAGCTCCACTGGAATGTAACTTAGAGAGCTCCACTGGAATGTAACTTAGAGAGCTCCACTGGAATGTAACTTAGAGAGCTCCACTGGAATGTAACTTAGAGAGCTCCACTGGAATGTAACTTAGAGAGCTCCACTGGAATGTAACTTAGAGAGCTCCACTGGAATGTAACTTAGAGAGCTCCACTGGAATGTAACTTAGAGAGCTCCACTGGAATGTAATTTAGAGAGCTCCACTGGAATGTAACTTAGAGAGCTCCACTGGAATCAGGGTTTCCGTTAGCCGGTAATTACCGGTTTTTAGCTGGTAACATTTAATAAAAACCGGTAAATTCAAAACCTGCCGGTCAAAATGTCCGATGCTCCGATCGATTGGCCGTCGATCATTATCGGCCGATATTCACTCTTAATAGTTTGATCTGTGCTCTCTATAAAGGCCGATCAGGAGAGCTGGATCTGATCGATATGGACATAAACGCGAGTGAGGTATAACCGGACGCCAGAGAGAGATCGCATTAGCTGCTGCATAATCACCCGAAGCCCCGCCCACTGTTTAGCGAGCTGCATGAGAAACTGACGGGCTGTCAGGAGAGAGAGAGAGAGGGAGGGAGAGGGGAACAAGAGGATCAGTTTATCCCGTGTTATTATTCAAAGTTAATTTAAACTTTTGAATAATGTACTTCATCTACTACAAGTAGTTTCTTTGAATGTAATAATTATGTTGTTTGTTGTTTGTGGAATCATTTATTGAAAAATTAATCTGAATTTTTCGATCTGTTACGATTATAAACTGAAGAAATATAAAAATGACTCCCATTAACTGACTTTTAAACATCAGCATCCGGTCCTAGTCCGGTAATTACCTGCTAACGGAAACTCTGCTACACAATTCTTATTATTCTTATTGAAACATGACCGGTAAGTTTCAAATTTGTCCGGTAAAATAAATTCTGTCCGGACATTTGACCGGCGAGAAAAAATCCTAACGGAAACCCTGACTGGAATGTAACTTAGAGAGCTCCACTGGAATGTAACTTAGAGAGCACCTTATCATGTTTTCTTTGCTGGATCAGGACCCTATAGCGGTCATCTTCGGGATTGCCTTATCTCATTTTCTCCAGATGAAGACCACCCATAGAGGCCACTGCAACACCATTTCTCCACTGGATGGGCACCGTGGGTGATTTGCTAATGAGCGGGACATCTCTTTTGGAACATTAAAGTATGGAAACATGTCTATAGAGGTACTAAATACTAATATGAACCTGCAAATGAACAACTGTTTCCTCTTAAAAACACCAGAATAAGAAAAGATAAAAACCATAAAAGGGGACACCTATTCTCTCTTCTTTGAGACAAGATGGTAGGAGGATAAAGTATAACATAAATCAAATGAAAGATGGAGTGGGGTTTTCTCATCACACACTAAGTGGGTTGGTATTTGTGTGGAGTTATACTGCCTCCTGCATCAGGACTGAGGTACTGGCTTCCTCTTATTCGCCTTTATAGCAGAGACTTATATCAGGAGATACTGGGTGAACATTTTAAACATGCTTTTGATATTATTATTTCATCAACATGCAGACACATTGTTACTGTAACAGCTGATGACCTTTATACACTATTATCAAAGTATAGATTTATTTATAATGATAAACTAACAATTGTCTAGTTTGTAAGCTTGTCAAAGTCTCATACATTTTCTTTTAACACTTAAAAGAAAATGATATACAAACCAGGCTTAGTTATGTTTTTTCTTAATTTAAGATGCTATTCACACCTCTAATGAGATTTAACAAGGCTTCTCTCAGCAGACACAATATACATGCATGTGTGCATGTGTGCATGTGTGTGTGTCTTTGTTGAGTGGTTAATGCCTGGTTCATGGGAGGCTGGTATGTGACACATGGTCTTCATTAGCAAACTCTGTGTGTGTGTGTGTGTGTGTGTGTGTGTGTGTGTGTGTGGTGTGTGTGTGTGTGTGTGTGTGTGTGTGTGTGTGTGTGTGTGTGTGCGTGTGTGAGAGAGAGCACTGTAACACCTGTCAGTCTCTATAGCTTCTTTCAGACATCTAAATTAGGCTCAGCAACAAATATGTTAACTGCAGTTCTTCAGATCAAGAAGATATTGTGTTATTTTATTACTTTAATTAGTCAGTAATATGTAGGGAATTTGACATGTATCCCAGTTTTCTTTTTTAGTATCCCAGGAATCATGATGCTCTGATGCAGCTAAGACACTTTTTGAGGAATAAAATACGTAAAATATGGAAATCTCAAAGTGAAATCAAAGATTGCAGAAATATAAAGTCCTTTATAGAGTTGTTTAGACAGTATAGTCATTTATACAGTCCAACAATTCAGACCCTTGATAACCCTGAAGTTCACACATTTCCTTTAAAGATGCAGAATACATTTTGTTTTGTCCAAAGAATCTAATTGGTTTGGCTTTCTAGATGCTTCAAATGTATTCTATGTCTTCTCTGTAAAAAGATATGTGAGAAATGCAGTAGAACATTACAAAAACTACAAACAAATCAGAATAATAAAGTGATGTCATTTCAGCCTGATGGACGAGGGACTGTCTAAAAGTTATACCACAGCGCCCTCTGCAGGATAACACTGCTCTGTACGGTTTACATAGAGTTTGCATCCCTAATAAACATTCTAGTAAAGTAGGACGGTAAATACTGTAGGAGGAGCTGCTCCCTTTATTTACCTCTAATTAGATTTGATGATAATGATTTGTCTTTATAATGTATTGTTAAGAATATATTTTTGTATACTTCAATGTGATGTGTTTTCTTATAATGTGGTTTTATTTCTTATTTTTATTTATTTATTATGCCATTGAAATGTAAAACATTAAAAACATATGATTTAATGCATTAGGTGTACCAAAAAAGTGTATTAAAATATATTCATCATTATTTCTCCGCCCAGATGTGAAGACTCCTCTTCCTCTGCTGCCACGTTTTTCATCATTTCCAAAGAGAGGGGACAACGCTGGGAACCTGCACCGAAACCTGATTGGTCCAGAATCCTGAAAACCCACCTTTAGTCCCGCCTATTGACTCTTTCTCTGGCTGTGATTGGTTGAATGTAAGGTCCATCACGGTTACTATGGACTTTGGCTTTACTGGTATCCAAGTGAGGACGTGATTTGTTGGACAACTCGTAGCTTCATCAATGAGAACGCAGAAAATTAAGCGAGCAGTAGAGCTTACTTCTCATGTGTTTGTCTCAATTACAGATATATTAGCTTTTTAGTTCGTGGCTGCAAGGCTGAAACATCGCAGAATTTACGAAGCAATGGCCCAGAAAAAGACTCCCAAAACCCACTCCAAAAAAGGTCAGTACCCTTTTCTCCGACCCATCGACGCACCTCTCCCATATTTCGGTAGCATTTTCCTGCAATTTAAAGTCTTACACCTATCGGGAAATATGCATTTATCGCAGAACGAAGGCAAATGTTTTAAATAAATGATTTGTATCTTTTCTTCAATTCGGCTTACATACCGACACGATATGCAACACAATTGACCGCTTTCTCTGCTGGATCCTCCGTGGTTCCCACTATCCTCTTGAGGAAAATGCGCGTCCTGCTGGGTGTGTAGAAACAGTTTTAACCGGATGTAAAACATAAAATTTCAGTCAAGTAAAGACAATTTGTGTTTTTCACCTATGCCGAATTGAGTAGTGGGTTTTATTTGTTTATGCAAATGTTTTAATGTGTGTCATTAAAATGGTTTGCTTTGGCTCTAAACAAGATAATATTTAACTGCATGAATTTTCAATAGAGTCTGGTTTAACGTTCTCACAAAGCAAGAATTCGAGGCTAATTAAGCAATTTATTTTCTAGCAGTCAATATATCCGGAATACTGTGTTGACTTTGGCTGTCCAACTAAACAAAATGGTTAAGTATAGATGAAATAATGCTCTGCCTCTGTGTGACTGATAACTTGTTTGTCCAGCGGTAACATGGAAGTGAGCCCTGTAAATGACGCTAAGCTAACCTAGCTACCATAGATGATGGTTTGCTTAGCTAACAAAAGCTAACAAGCTATTAACTTTTTAACAGACAGCAGTTAGGGGTTGAAGACAAAGTCAGACAAATCCACCGTATATTACATGTATAGGCCTGACATAAACATTAAAGGTTGTTTAATAATCAGAGCAAAGCTTCATCATGATCACATAATAGTACACAAATATTTCTGTTATTATAAATATGACTGCTGTGAGTTCATGGACCTTCTCATCCTTTCTTGCTTTACATCTTTGTTGTTACTACATTTATTCTTGTGATTCTCCCACACCCCATATTTGCACACCATTGTAGTTGAATTACATTTTGATATTCAGAGTTTAAAATTGGGAAAACTCATTCATTTTCTATTTACATTTTTTTTTACTTCTAATGGTTGAAAGCTACTGGATATTTCCTATTTAAATACTAGTGTATGAAGTTGTTTGTTTTAAGGCTGATGCATTAGAGGCATTTGGCACATTTCTGTAAATTGTATATATATTATCTAGTAAGTTAAGGTCAAGCTGCAACCATCATTGATTAATTGTGCAATTCCCCTCAGTACAGTCCAAGGTGTTCAGTTTCAGCGTTAAAGTAAGCCGTGTCAAGCACTTGAAGTATTTAAATAAAATATGATCTGGTGTAGAATAACTTCCAAAAAAAACTTGCATCGTAAGAATTCACTTGTGTTAAATGTCCACTTTGTGAGGTATAACATGATCTGCAGAATGCACATACTGTCCCTTTAATTCTCCCACAGTTAAGAGTGTGTGTGCATGCTTGTGTGTGTGTGTGTGTGTGTGTGTGTGTGTGTGTGTGTGTGTGTGTGTGTGTGTGTGTGTGTGTGTGTGTGTGTGTGTGTGTGTGTGTGTGTGTGTGTGTGTGTGTGTGTGTGTGTGTGTGTGTGTGTGTGTGTGTGTGTGTGTGTGAACAAACAAGTGTCAAGGTTATTGGTGGGCTATTCTGTCCTCAATGGCATCTCGCACACAGACACACACACTCACACACACTCTAATAATAGTGTGGATCAGGTTCTGGATGGAAGAGGAGGAGCTCTTTATTTCTCTGTCACTTTCTGTGCTTCTCCTTCTTCACTGACACTATCTTTATGCTGGTTTGGACGATTCATCATTTGGAATATTTGTATTTCTTCTATTTTTATCCCTTCAACAAAACCCTTTTTTGTACAGTACTTTGTCATCTTTTGTAAAGTTTAAATAGTTTGGATTTTGTGTAATTCTTATTTTCTCAGTGTGGAAAATCTTTTTTTATTTTAAAAGTTTGTTATTCTTTGCAATGGTGGTTTAGTGTGCAACTATTATTGAAACTACTACAGTCTTCCTCAAGTGCTTTGACGTCTTTTCAGAAAGTCTGAATAGTTTTGGCACCCTTTAATTCCTGGACTGGAATAAAGGTTTCCATCGTATTATATTCTGGTACACATATTTGTAATTCATTGTGATGGTGGTTTAGCCTGCATTTGCCTGGTTCTGGCATCTTTTTTTGAGACATGCAACGCTACCGCCACTACGGCTCCTCCTCACCTCCTGTAGAGGAGATCAATGCTGAAAACGAGGAGGAGGAGGAGGAGGAGGAGGAGGAGGAGGAGGAGGAGGTGTACACTGAAGAAGAGGAGCCACTGATAGGTTTATCAGAGGAAGAGGAGGAGATCCAAGAGACAGGTAGGCCTGGTGAAGGATTTTAGATTTGACCTGGTTTGGTTTGGTTCTTATCTTGCCTGGTTTGGCCCGGTTAGGGAGCGTTAAAGAGGAAGAGGTCCCTCAGACAGAAGTGGAGGTGCAGCCTGTTGTTCAGGAGACAGGTATGAAGAGTTTGTGAGCTCGGTTTGGCATGGATTGGTTTTGTTTGGTATGGTTATTTAAGTGTTTAAACTGAGAAGTTAACCATAGTTTGGGTTGTCCTGGTTTACATTGGTTTGGTTTGGGTTTGTGAACTTTGTGGTATGCATTTAATGGAAATTAAAATACATCCTGTAGCTTAATTTCACAATAAAAGCCTTACAGTGAAATTAATTGTTTAGGAAACAAGGCATGAATTGGTTTGGTTTGGTTTGGCATGGTAAGTGTGTGCTTATAAGGAGGAGAGCTCATGATATACAGATGGATAACTTTATAGTTTGGTTTGTTGTGGATAGATTGTTTTGGGTTGCCTTATGCCCTTATTATACTTTCAATGCAAACTTAATACATCCTGTCTAGCTTATTTTCACAATACCAGCCTCCCAGTGTTGGGTTAGAGTTGTTTCTTGGTGTAAATTGGATCCAGTGGTTCATCATGGTTTCTATTTGTCTTGGTTTGGCATGTTTAGACATTGGCTAATTTCCTTTCATAATATCTCCTGGTATGGCTTGATTTGACATTGGTCCATCTTAAAGTATTAACAGAAAATCTGATATTTATTTAATTTCATATTCTATTTCCTTGCCTGCTGACTAACAGCATTTGAAGCTTTGAATGGGTGTATTATTAAGTCTTGGAGCATTTATATTTCCAAACTAGTACCTTTTTATGGATATTTTTCCAAAAACTAGATCATTTTCTACACATTGACAATGTTCTGCATCAATCATCAGAATTCATTATTGGGAGCTAGAGATCCTGAATATACATGTATATATGTTTCCTTAGGTCTTGTTTGCAGTATAAGCAGATTGGGCCGATCGGAAGTCAAATGAATTTTAAAGGCAGTTTAATTATAGTTCCGCATGCTATTGGCATCCCACATTCAGTCTATTCTTTTTTCTTCTTCAAAGAACTGGATATTCCATTAATGTTTATCCAAGACTAAGAGCTTCCACGTTGTGTTAAATAGGATGAATTGGACCTTTACCTGGTTAGCTCCTGAAGCTCTATTGGTTGATATTCCATCCTCTTGCATTAACACCTCTTTAAATAAAACATTTTAAAGACCCCATGCACACTTGTTGTACCCAGCATGTTGCATCACTGCAGAAACAAAACCTTTTAACTTTTAGAAACAAAACTCAGCACCATGCTAACAATATACCAAGCTATTTCTGTTTCTGCCTTTAACATTAAGGCCATTACTGTTCATTAGATGAAGCTATTCTAGTTGTCAGTGGTGTACAAACAGCTGTTCTCTCTCTTTCTCTCTTTATGTCAGGGTCATGTTGACTGCAGGTCTCTCACTCTATTCCTGGGTCGGCATGCCCCTTTCTGCTCCTGCCATATTGTCTTTTTATCAAGTGGCACAATGAATACATACTTAAAAACCCTTTTTATAAGGACCTAAGTCAATTATGTTTTGTATACAATATATAACAGTGTTTTCTTCCATCATAACTGAATAAAACTACATATTTAAGCTTTGAGATTTCCTCTTACCAGACACTGTAAAATACTGTCTTCGGTTTAAATTGATTGTAAATATATTCTGTGCAAAAAACATCTGTTCCAAAGAGATCCCCTATCTAACTTTCTTCCTGAGGTTTATAACATATTCCAAATTACATTACATTACATTACATTGCATTTAGCTGACGCTTTTATCCAAAGCGACTTACAATAAGTACATTCGACCAGGAAGACACAACCTTGAAGAAAACAGAATCATATAAGTACATCCGGTTTCATAGAGTCAAACATTTCAAGTGCTACTCAACTGGCTTTAGATAAGCCAGTCCTTTATTAGTATAAAAGTGTTTCGTTAATAGTTCTAACGCTCGAAGTGGAGTCGAAAGAGATGAGTTTTCAGTTTGCGCCGGAAGATGTGCAAGCTATCTGCCGTCCTGATGTCAATGGGGAGCTCATTCCACCATCTTGGAGCCAGGACAGCAAACCCACGTGTTTTCGCCGATGGGAACTTGGGTCCCCCTCGCAGCGAGGGCGCAACGAGTCGTTTGGCTGATGCAGAGCATAGTGCACGCGCTGGGGTGTACGGTTTAACCATGTCCTGGATGTAGGAAGGGCCAGATCCATTCGCAGCACGGTAAGCAAGTACCAGTGTCTTGAAGTGGATTCTAGCAGTTACCGGAAGCCAGTGAAGGGAGCGGAGGAGCGGAGTGGTGTGGGGAAATGTAGGAAGGTTGAAGACCAGACGAGCCGCTGCATTCTGGATGAGCTGCAGAGGTCGGATGGCACATGCAGGTAGACCAGCCAGGAGGGAGTTGCAGTAGTCTAGGCGTGAGATGACGAGAGCCTGGACCAGAACCTGAGTCGCTTTCTGAGTCAGCTGGGGACGTATCTTCCTGATGTTGTAAAGCGTGTATCTGCAGCAACGGGTTGTAGCAGCGATGTTTGCAGTGAAGGACAGATTGTTATCTAGGGTCACACCCAGATTCCTTGCAGTCTGAGTCGGGGAAACAACTGAGGTGCCGATGTTGATTGTTAGGTCAAGAGTGGGACAATCTTTTCCCGGGAGGAAGAGCAGCTCAGTCTTGTCAAGGTTGAGCTTGAGGTGGTGAGCAGACATCCACTGAGAGATGTCAGCTAGACAAGCAGAGATGCGTGCGACGACCTGGGTCTCTGAGCGGGGAAAGGACAGAATTAATTGGGTGTCGTCAGCGTAGCAGTGGTAAGAAAAACCATGCGGGCTAATGACTGATCCGAGCGAGTTTGTGTACAGGGAGAAGAGGAGGGGACCAAGAACAGAGCCCTGAGGGACCCCCGTAGTTAATTGACAAGGGTCGGACTCAGACCCTCTCCAAGTCACCCTGTAGGTACGGTCTTTCAGGTATGAGGTGAGGAGGGAAAGAGCAGAGCCTGAAACTCCAAGTTTTTGGAGAGTGCGAAGGAGGATCTGATGATTCACCGTGTCGAATGCAGCAGACAGGTCCAACAGGATGATGACAGAGGAGAGGGATGCAGTTTTGGCAGTGTGCAGTTCCTCCGTGACAGCAATGAGAGCAGTTTCTGTGGAGTGACCTGCCTTGAAACCAGACTGGTGCGGATCCAGAAGGTTGTTCTGATTGAGATAACAGGAGAGTTGTTTAAAGACAGCGCGTTCAAGTGATTTAGACAGGAACGGGAGGAGAGAGACAGGCCTGTAGTTTATAACATCAGACGGGTTGAGAGTGGGTTTCTTTAGGAGAGGGTTTACTCTTGCCTCCTTGAGACTGTTTGGAAAGTGACCAGAAGTTAGAGAAGTGTTGATGAAATGGGTGAGAAACGGTAGAATATCAGGAGCGATAGTCTGAAGGAGGTTTGAAGGGATAGGGTCCAGAGGACAGGTGGTAGGGCGGGCAGAGGTAATGAGGGTAAGAACCTCACTTGGAGAGAGAGGGGAAAAGGAGGTAAGTGTGTTGGTGGAAGGAGGGTCTGGTGACCCAGCGGTGAGTAAAGGTGAGTCAGAAAAAGAAGAGCGAATATCATCAACCTTTTTTTCAAAGTGGGTAACAAAGTCGCTTGACAGAAGTGAGGAGGGGGGAGGAGCTTTTGGAGGGTCCAAGAGGGTGGAGAAGATGGAAAATAGTTTTTTAGGATTGGAATAGGAAGATTGGATCTTATCTTGAAAGAAAGTGCTTTTTGCCTGAGAGATCGAAGCAGAGAAAGAGGAGAGGAGAGCTTGATAGGTTAGGAGGTCGTCACGGTGTTTGGATTTCCACCATTTCCGCTCTGCTGCCCTAAGGACGGTTCTATTAGCACGCAGTGCATCATTTAGCCAGGGAGCAGGAGGGGACTGACGAGCCTGCCGAGATGTGAGAGGACAGAGCTAGTCCAGAGTGGATGAGAGAGTAGAGAGGAGAGTTTCTGCAGCAGAGTTTGGAAGCAGGAGTTGGAACGAATCAGAGGAAGGGAGGGCTGAGAGCACCGACGAGGCAAAGGTAGAGGGGGAGAGGGAGCGAAGGTTACGGCGGACAAGTGTAGGATGGGAAGAGATTAGTTTGTTATGTTTGGAAAGGGATAGAGAGAATGAAATGAAGAAGTGATCGGATGTGTGGAGCGGGTTTACAGAGAGGTTAGAAGTAGCGCAGTTCCTTGAGAATATGAGATCAAGGACATTGCCAGCTTTATGAGTCGGTGGGGACGGAGACAGTGAGAAAGCAAAGGCGGTTAACAGAGATGTTAGTTCGTCTATCTTCCCCGTCTGGAGGTTGAAGTCTCCGAGAAGTACAGCGGGCTTACCAGTTTCAGGGATGAGTGAGAGGAGATTATCTAATTCCTCCAAGAAGTCCCCCAAGGCGCCTGGTGGACGGTAGAGAACAACAATGGTTAACTGTATAGGATGGGTTACTGTGACGGCATGGAACTCAAAGGTGGAAGGAGTGAAGTTAGGTAGCTTGAAGAGGGAAAAGCTCCATTTGGGAGAGAGCAGGAGAGCAGTGCCACCTCCTCTGCCAGTGGGTCTGGGTGTATGGGAGAATGAATATGCTGTGGAGAGAGCTGCTGGGGTGGATGTGTTGGATGGAGTAATCCAGGTCTCAGTGAGAGCAAGGAAATCCAGAGACTGCAGGGAGGTGTAGCCAGAGATGAAGTCAGCCTTAGGAACAGCTGACTGGCAGTTCCACAGGCCACCTGAAACTAGATGTTGGATCTCAGTGGAGCATGTGGGATAGACGAGAGCAGGCCGGTTATATCGATTACGAGATACACGGGGCCAGTGATAATTGCGAGAAGACACATGAACAGGAATGGAGAAAATACACATGATTATAGCATGAGGGGCTAAACAACAAAATAAAATGAAACAAAATAGAAAATAAAAACACCAGCGATACTTAGCTCAATCAAAGTAGGATTTGCCTCCTCTTTGCCTCCCTCGTGACTCCTGTAGGACTGCAATGTCTTTGTCAGTCTTCGGCTGTCTGACGCTGAAGCTGACGCTCCAGGAAAGTGATACCTAAAAATGGACGCCTGATTTCTCAGTTCTTAAATGCGGTATTTAAATGCTTTTTGAGCTAAAAGATTACTGAGTCACGCGGTTCTACTTCACGCAATCAATAGACTGGCCCTGCCTATATTAATAATGCAGGCTTGAGTGCTGAGACCTGTGAAGCAGGTTTCAAATGAATTATGGGTGTTTGTTTTTCAAATGTGAAATCTGTAAAGCCCCCCTTCGACCAATGTGTCATTTTAAAATCTTTGGCTATATAACTTTGATTTGATTTTCATGTCCCCAGAGGGAAAGTCAGCGCCAGTGGATAGCAAGAATGGAAAGAGGACGGAGAGAGGATCAGGAGGAGATGCAGCAGCAGCAGCAGCAGCAGCAGGAGGAGGAGGAGGAGGAGGGGCTAAGTACTCCATGTTCACCTGGTTTGTAGTCCTCGCCCTGCTCGGAGTCTGGAGCTCCGTGGCCGTCGTCTACTTCGATGTTGTGGACTACGACAGTGTCATCGGTAAGTTAGAGGATAATTGTGACTTTTCTAGGTGCAAGAAACATGCAGTTCTGGGATGTCGGGATATTAGTAGACTATACCGATACTAGTGAAATTCCATGATTCTCTCTTCTGCTTTCAAAGTCTTGAGAGTTTAATTTAATTAGATGTTATGAATCAAAAATGTTAACGTCTGAAATCAAATTTAAAAAATGGTCATGGAATCTTTAAAAATAGGAAGTTGGTTTCTTATTTTGAGGATGTTGACTGCTAATAGTGTTGTGTTGTCACACACACACACACACACACACACACACACACACACACACACACACACACACACACACACACACACACACACACACCACCACACACGCACACACACACACACACACAGACACAGACACAGACACACACACACACTCACACATCAGACAGTATGTTTCAACATCTGTCTTTATGTGGTTATGACAGTCATACAAGCTCTTCCTCTCAGACACACACACACACACACACACACACACACACACACACACACACACACACACACACACACACACACACACACACACACACACACACACACACACTGCTGTTACGTGTCAGATGACATGTTTATCTTATCTCAAACTTCACCTCCTCTGACTCACGATATGAGATATAACTGTCTTCTGTGTCAGGTTTACATTCCTGCTTTATATGGAGCTCTCTGTGTTAACTGAGCTGTATGTTCAATTAGGCTTGTGTGTTTCCTCTCTCTGCTCTGTGACTAAAGTCTGTCAGGGCTGCATGATCTGTAAAATATATAACAAAACTGAAACATCTGCAGTGTCAATCTAATTGTTGGAATATTCATTTAAAATAACTTATCATGCAGGTCTGTTTTTAATCTGTATTTCTTTGTACTAATTCAGCCCTTTTCACAGCACTCAGAGGTGAACATGCTATAGCCCTTATTGTCTTCTTCTTCCTCCTTCCTCTCTGTGTTTTCTCCTCATGCAGCCAGAGCGAAGGAGTTTCGCTTGAACTTTTCAGAAGTTTTACAAGGTACACGGTTGAGATTTAAACTGCAGTCGTACAGCTCCTCGTTCCACTGTGTGCTTCACCATATCCTCCTAAGAATATCATGAGTTTAGAAGGATAAGATGGGAGGGAAATAGTTGAATTAAAGTGAGTTTAGACAGGTAGATTAATAATGAAGATGTAAAACAAACCTTGTGTAAAAATGCTGGAGTTAAGAAGAAAATGCTAATTTAAATCATCTAATGTGAATTCAAGCTAACCACTAAAGGCACCCAATAACAGAAAAAAGAACCCAAAGATTCAGGCAGCAGCCGACCAGAACCTCCGTGTTGTGAGGGGTTAAATGACCGTTTCTTCAATGGAGTCTGGCGTATATAAAGAGAGTATAGAAAATGACACCAGATAAGGGCTCAAGTTCCTCATACCACCCCACTCTGACACATCTAACATAACCTGTTCAGATGAGGAGACACTATGATGATGTTGGTGTTTAGCACGTATGTAAATGACTGCAGACAAAGCAAGAGAAAGAGAAACTAAACTGTGGTTTCTTACTAAACCAAAATGAGAACATGGAAAACCACAAGTGAACAGATAAGCTCACACAGCAGTATGTTTGCTCATCTGCAAAAAGGACTTTTATAAGAAAAGCATAATATATACTTAAATCAAAAGTATGAGTATTTCAAAAATGTGTTTCCAGATGTTGTTCTGGTTGTATATTTCTAAAGACAAATCTCACTAACTTGGATTATTGTATATTGAAGTAAGCCCTTGTGGAGATTTAGTAGTTTTATGGGTCACAAAAAGATGACAGACAGAGAGCGTCCTCCTCCACCACATCCTTCCTCTTCCTTCAACTTTACCATTCTAAATTAATACTTCATGCTCGTGCTTTTTGCCATACTGTTATGTGCTGCTTTTAATATGCTGTGCTATGTGTACTTCGTATTAGCAGTGTAGAAATGGATGAAATTAAGAAAAATGCAACTCCAGTAACTACACTGATTGTTGTAGACCATAAATACTTGCTTTTTTTAACCAAAGCTCCTTGCATGACTATACAGTATACGTTGAATATATATGCTGTGTTGGTTAGGAGGTCATAATAATATCACCTTTTTTCATTTTCTTGTACATGTTAATAACTTTTGAATGTCTCATCTTCTTAGGAATGCAAGAAGATTGCTATACATTTCTGCCTAGTGAAAATGAATATATTACATGTTTACTTAATGAAACTGTGCTTAAACAGCCTCCTATTTTCATTTCTTATAACCACCTTCTTGAAAATGTTGGTGTTGTGATATTTGTGCATGTCTTTTATAATTTTTGAAATTAGCATGTTACTCCTTTGTCTTTTGGTCATAAATCTCGTATTGTTTTTTTGTAAAATGCTCAAATGTGTGTCTCAAATTGCAATAAAGTCGCATATTCTGAAATTGCTGCATACATATCCAAAGACGTTCAAAACACTTGAATAATATCAGTAAAATTCCACAGGTCTTAACTAGAAAATGCTTCCTCTGTGTGCACGTAGCAATTGTTAATCTCTTACAACAGAAGATTCTACTTGCATCAAAATTGCATTAAAACTAAATATTCAAAGTTCAGTCTTTTAGTTTAAAAATAATCTTATTTTCCAGCCCGAGTGGTATATTTATTGTGAGTTTTTTGTTCTCCTCTCAGGCAAACTGACGGCCTACGACACTGACGGGGACGGAGACTTTGACGTGGAGGATGCTAAAGTTCTTCTCGGCAAGTCACCTTTTCTATTTATTATATCTGTGCCTGTTGTATCCGTGTGATGCCTGACTGATGTGGTTTACAGTTGAGTTGGGGTGCCTCAGTTTGAAACAGTAACCAGTCTTCCTATTGTGGTTTACTAAAGCAGAGATTTTCTTTTGTTGCCTGTAAGAAAGAAAATCGGCATCATGACGTTTGAAAAGACACTAACAGTTGGAACCTTTCTGATATTTAAAGGAGGTGTTCAAACGACCTGTACTAACTTTTAATAATACTTGACTCTTTATTTGGTATTTGACAACGTATTCCTCTCAAAGTCTAACAAATCAGTTACTGTATTGCATCTTTCTTTTTTTGGTCTATTCAATTATTATTCAAACGTGGCCACGCAAGATTATTGGGTTTAAAAGTCACAGATTTATGGGAAAAGTCATGTGATAAAGAGTCTTTTATTTATTCCTTAGATTATTTATTTATTTTAAATTTAGATTTTCTTTTAACTTTGTTTACATTTAATTCACTTATTTATAGAAAGTGTATCATTTCATTTGTTATTTATATTAAGATTTGTATCAGACAGTCCTTCTTACAAAACCAGCCCTAATTGTAGATGTGGTTTTTTAAAAGTTTATTCAAGGAAAGATGTCCTCCGCCGTTCTTTGGTTTAAGACAGGAAGCCTGACGAGACTGAGACAGGAAGTTAAAACGTATTTATTGTTGTCTATGCTTCATATTCAACATCTTTAACTCTATCTTTCTCTTTCCCGCTTCATCCTTTATTTTATGTTTTTGTTACGGTCACTTTCCATTTTTTTACACCTCCCTCCATCTCTTCCTTTGCCTCCTTTTCCTTTACAACACCACCTTGTGCCTCCCCCTTTCCAACTCCCCTTTTGTTCACCTCCCTCCCTCCTCTCTGCATGTCTTCCCTCTCTCTCGTCAGGCTTGACCAAAGATGGGGACGGTAGCCCGAACGCCGAGTCTCTTGAAGAGGTTCTTGATATTTTAGCAGACGAGGGCTCTGATTGGATGTATGGCTTCTTCACCTTCCTTTATGACGTAGTGTCCTCGCCTGTAGAGCAGGGCGAGAAGGAGGAGAAAAAGGAGGAGAAAGAGGAGGAGGGTGGCACGACCTCCTCTGATGACGGGGAGGTCAAACAGGTCAAACTGGACCTTCAGAACCAATAGCAGGACAGGAAGCAGAGCCCACAGCCAATAGCAAGGATCTGTGGTCCCACTACCGACCAATCATAAGGAGGGTTGGGCGGGGGTTGTAGAGGCCATGATGGACCTGGTTTCAACTGCAGGGCCAAACTGGGAAACAGTCCTTTTAAAAGTACACTTAAGTTACCTGAAAACACTCGTTTTGGGTCAATAAAGCTGTTAATCAGCAGGAATAGTTTGCCCCTAAAATTAATATGTAAAATACATTTTCATTAATTTAATAACATTTCATTTTAAAAAGGACCTTCCTGCAAATATGTTATCGTAGCTTGGAAATGTTACATATTTTGGTTTGTGTGTATTCTACGCTTGAATACAAATCTGAGAGATTTGTAAAAATGAACTTGCATTAACATGTTTTTTTATCTTCAATGTTGCTTCTTACAGTATAGGACTATACATTTGGACTTTTTTTCCAATATTTTTGTGTACATTTTGCACTCAGTTTTAGGCTTTGTTTATTTGTACCTACTAAAATCACCTTAAGAGTCCTTGACATAAAATATTTTAAATTAATTTACTAAATTTTACTAAATAGTTGTTTTGTCATAGTCACGTTATCTTCATGTAGGCAGGGACTGTTTTTAAATCAGTTTGTGTGAGGGTGGATACTCTTCACTCTGACATTTAAGATTGTAAAATTGGTTCTTTCATTAATTATTTAGTTTTATATGTTGTATTAGTTTCGTTATATTCAGGTCTTGGTACAGTTGCAGGCAGGCTGTATTGAGGACATGTGCTGTATTTTTTAATTTGACATTCAAGAATGTAAAAATGTATTTAATTTCTATCCTAGCTTTATTTTATTATTTATTTATTACACAAAATATCTGCCAGAAAAGAACATGTTTTCTGTCGTGGAAGGCGGTCGGGCCAGAAAAAAGTAAAAAACAACATTCCTCCAAATATCATCTAGGACCGTAACTTGGCAATGACTGTTTTAAAAACGTTTTCTGTGATAAGTCTGTTTGCACTAATATGCTTGAATTGTTGGCACTTTCTGATTTCCTTAACACCATTTGTATATTCACAATAATGTGATTACTCTCACCTCTGCTTTTTCTGTCAATTTGTGTTGCTGTAAAATGGTTCAAACCTGAATACACTGATTTTCCCATTAAGCTAAGTTGTGTTGGTCAGGAATAAACAGGAAACAGTACCAGATTAAACTCTTCGTTAAGCCATATTTTGACAAAAATGTAAGTGTAAACGAAGCTAGTGAAATCTGCAATAAAACAGAATACAAATGTTTGTTTAAATAGCTTTTTGGGCAGGTGGGGGTTGATTCTTCTTGAATAGAGTTGATTTTGCGAGGCAGCACACTATAATATACAGACATACTAGTTTACATTAACTTCCTCTGCTGTTTGTCCTGTGCAGATGAAAAGAAGTTAAAAGTTCCTGCTCCCAGGAAAGGTATCGTACGAAAAGTGTGTTTTTGTGAGTTTCCCAAACTAGTATTCTGCCAACAGTTGACTGATCTGTGTGCTTGTACATGTTGTAGAGGACAGGAAAGAGGGGAGGAAGAGGGGTAAAAGTAAAGGTACTGTCCACTTTGTTCCGTAAATGCATGACAGCGTGATCCCAAATAACTGTAGTTACCCACCTTTACTAAATCTGAGAAGTGTGCATGTCACTGCAGGCTTTAAAGGAGACAATCAATAGGCGTCAATATCAAAACTTAAAATAACACAAGCTACATGCAAACAAACACGTGTCCACTCCTGCTTTATTTGCATTTGTCGTGTTGTTGTTCAGGTAAATCATTGGAATTAAAATTGTGATTTCTTTATTAACATTTTTGTTTTATTGCTGTATGCCAATAAAACCGAAAACTTAAAGATGTATAATCCCCTTCAGCTGTGTTATTGAAACCAATAACCAAATAAATATTAACTGTGATACCTCAGGCAATATACAGTGTAATTTATTATTTAATTGACCTTATCTGGTGATGTGTTCAGATGGCTTTAATTAGGCATTTGCAGTTATACTTCTAAGAATATCTATCCTTCTCATATCTCTGCTGTAGTCAACATTGCTGGTATAAATAAAATATTTAGCAAAATGTTAAGTGTTTTTGCATCATGTTTCTGAGGTATTGGCTGTGTTTGAGATGATATACTTACACACTATTCTTACTTAGTATGACATAACATTGACTCATAAATAATATCTAAATTGAATGTACAAAAACGTAACTTTACCAGCAGACAATACTTCAGTTTTTATGGTTAAATCTGTTTTGCCGTGGAGTGTGTTGTTGGTTTCAAAGCAGTCGAAAATATCTTGAATATTTAATGAATTTTGCAACCCTAGTTTTGGTCAACTTTGCCTGGTGTGATGATTTTGATATTGTTTTTAGCTTTGGTAGCAAACATTGTGTGTGTATTGTTCTAGAAGAGAAGACTTTAGAAGACACTGATCCAGAGATTAAACTCCAAAAAGGTAGATCTATCCCTCTGAATTATTTTTTGTGATTTAGTTTAATCTGTTGGTTTTAGTTTCACTTATTTATTAACGGTTAAAAGCAGAAAACAAGCTCCTTTTTGTGAATTTTTATTTTTAAATAATTGGATATTTTGGTATCTAGCTGAAGCAGAGAAGAAAGATGCTAGAGAAAACACAACCAGAGGTACAGAAATCTGCATGTTTGATATTTTCAAGCACGGCTTTGATTTAACAGCTGATTGACCTAAAGGATGTTGTTTGTGTGTTACCTTTTTTTGGAATAACAGCCTTGCAGACCCACAAATATTACATTTGATCAAACACTAAGAACTTGAGGTGGGCGATAACTCAATAAAATATATCGACTTAATATAATTTTAGCATAAATGTAATGACCTAAAGTATATGGATTTGTTTTGGCTTTTATGTAGCTGCATACAAAAATAGGGATATCCATCTGATATATGATGCATACAAAGTTTATTGTACACTAATAGACTTTGCTTTTAAGTGCACTTTAACAGTACAGTACCTGCATGTACTGTGTGATTATTTCAAATCCTTTCCTTGATAGTTCTGCATGATTTGGAAAATAACTAATTATTTTGACTGACACAATGGAGTGGCGAAGTCCCTCCCCTTCCGGTGGACCTCCATGGGACCTTATTTGGGAAAAATTATGTATTGAAGTCAATGGCGAGAGAAAGATTATCTTTCGATCCCGTTTGAATTGTGCCACGAATTACACATGATGTTTCTCAATTTAAAAGATAATTTTGCAAGTCAAAAAAATAAAAATGTGTCGTAAAACTGTGAAGTAACACATTGTTTTGTGTGAAACGCTCAATGAACTACATCTCTGGTCTCGCAGACTCGCACAATAACACACGTCACCAAGATGGCCGTCACTACTGTCTTTTCAAAAAAGGGATTGACTACCCTCACTATCAACACGTCCAGAAGAATGTCATGCAAAGCTGCCTGCCTGCCTGCCTTCCTTTGATTCGCTCTGAACTGCCTGATCTTTTTAATGTTCAATGTCAACCATTTGTGCAGATAGCATGAAGTAGAAAAGATCGCCGATGCTAATGTAGCGTTAGCGTTAGCATTTATCCCCCGGGCTTAAATGGTGTATTATAGAATGATCACACCGGTGTGACAGTACTCTTCAAAGGGTTCACGAAATATGACTACTACTCTTACTGTTTAACATTTTGGGTTACTTAATGTTACTTCATGTTAAGGCTAATACAAATTACAAGGCTAAGGCTGTAATGCTAACTAACGTGCTTGCTACTAGCTAGGTAGCTAACTTGATCCAGCCACTCCTGGTCCTTTCATCAGACGGGAAGCGAAAGAACGAGCAAGAACCATTGCTGGTATGATACCAACCTGGTACTAAGCACACGGGCATCTTGTTAAAGTTATCTTATATTAGCTATCTCTTATTTAGTGGAGGAAAACAATTGTGACATCAGTTATGACATCACTTACGCGACTCTGGGATTTGTAGTCTTTCTAGTTGCGTATTTTTCATAGTCTTATATTTCAACAGTTTTACGACAAACTGACTTTTTTGACATGGAAATTATTTTTTAAGATTAACAAACATCATGTGTAATTCATGGCACAATTCAAACGGGATCGAAAGATACGTTTTCTCTCTCCATTGACTTCAATGCATAATTTTTCCGAAATAAGGTCCCGAAAGTAGATGGGCGTGACTTCGCCACTCTATACCTCATTCAGTTATCTTCACATACTTGGCCTAAGTTACCAAATTGTGCTTACTGCAAATTTGGATTTTGCACTATAGTCTATATTTCGGTTTTGATAACATTTCGAATCATCATCATTGTGCTATTTTCTATAACACTTCCTAAGTTGCTTTGTGTGATCCCGCTAACAAGCCGATAAAAGGCGTGTTTGTGAGTGGTTTTCAAACTGCGGTTAAATCCAATAGCCCGGCCCATCAGAGGAGCCATGCTACGCTCTGCTCTGAAGGAAGAGCTAAGGATGATCCACGAGAAGATCGAGGCCAAAAGGATCGCCCGGATGGCAATGGCTGAGATCAAGGCCTTCCTTGCTGAGGAAGAAGAGGAACACGAGAAGGACTGGGTGCTGAAGACGAAGACGCTGGAGGAAGCACAGAAGCACCTAATGGAGGAGAAGGAGAGGATGGAAAAAGAGAAGCAAGAAATGGAGAGATTGGCAAAAGAAGAGAGGGAACGACTAAAGCAAGAGAGGGCAGAGATGGAAAAGATGGAGAAAGAGCGCCTAGCTAGGGAACGAGAGAGGATGGAGAAGGAAAAAGCTGAGAGGGAACAACAGGAGAAAGTTAGAGTGGAAAGAGAGAGGGCTGAAAAGGAGAGGATGGAGAGGGAGCGAATCGCAAAAGAGAGAGAAAGAATAGCCCAAGAGAAGGAACAGTTAGAGAAGGAGAGACTTGAGAAGGAGAAGATCGCTAAAGAGAAAGCGGAAAAAGAAAGGCTGGAAAGGGAACGCATCGCTAAGGAAAGCGCTGAAAAAGAGAGGCTCGAGAGGGAAAGCCTTGTTAAAGAAAAAGAAAGGATAGAAAGGGAACGCATCGCCACAGAACGAGCCGAAAAAGAGAGACTTGAGAAGGAGAAGATCGCTAAAGAGAAAGCGGAAAAAGAAAGGCTGGAAAGGGAACGCATCGCTAAGGAAAGCGCTGAAAAAGAGAGGCTCGAGAGGGAAAGCCTTGTTAAAGAAAAAGAAAGGATAGAAAGGGAACGCATCGCCAGAGAAAAAGAGAGACTGGAGAGGGAAAGCCTTGTTAAAGAAAAAGAAAGGATAGAAAGGGAACGCATCGCCAGAGAAAAAGAGAGACTGGAGAGGGAAAGCCTTGTTAAAGAAAAAGAGAGGCTGGAAAGGGAACGCATCGCAGAGGAAAGAGCTGAAAAAGAGAGGCTGGAGCGGGAACGCATTGCCAAAGAAAAAGATAGGCTAGAAAGGGAACGCATCGCTAAGGAAACAACAGAAAAAGAAAGACTAGAGAAGGAACGCATCGCAAAAGAAAATGCCCAAAAAGAGAGGCTAGAGAAGGAACGCATTGCCAAAGAAAGAGCTGAAAAAGAGAGACTAGAAAGGGAACGCATTGCTAAGGAAAAAGCTGAAAAAGAGAGGATAGAAAGGGAACGGATAGTTAAGGAAAGAGCTGAAAAAGAGAGGATAGAAAGGGAACGCATCGCAAAAGAAAATGCCCGAAAGGAGAGGCTGGAGAGGGAACGCATCGCAAAAGAAAGAGCCGAAAAAGATAGGATAGAAAGGGAACGCATCGCTAAATTAAGAGCTGAAAAAGAGAGGATAGAAAGGGAACGCATCGCCAAAGAAAGAGCTGAAAAAGAGAGGATAGAAAGGGAACGCATCGCAAAAGAAAATGTCCGAAAGGAGAGGCTGGAGAAGGAACGCATCGCAAAAGAAAGAGCCGAAAAAGAGAGGATAGAAAGGGAACGCATCGCTAAAGAAAATGCCCGAAAGGAGAGGCTGGAGAAGGAACGCATCGCAAAAGAAAGAGCCGAAAAAGAGAGGATAGAAAGGGAACACATCGCTAAATTAAGAGCTGAAAAAGAGAGGATAGAAAGGGAACGCATCGCTAAATTAAAAGCTGAAAAAGAGAGGATAGAAAGGGAACGCATCGCCAAAGAAAGAGCTGAAAAAGAGAGGATAGAAAGGGAACGCATCGCAAAAGAAAATGCCCAAAAGGAGAGGCTGGAGAAGGAACGCATCGCCAAAGAAAGAGCTGAAAAAGAGAGGATAGAAAGGGAACACATCGCTAAATTAAGAGCTGAAAAGGAGAGGCTGGAGAAGGAACGCATCGCCAAAGAAAGAGCTGAAAAAGAGAGGATAGAAAGGGAACGCATTGCTAAATTAAGAGCTGAAAAAGAGAGGATAGAAAGGGAACGCATTGCAAAAGAAAATGCCCAAAAGGAGAGGCTGGAGAGGGAACGCATCGCCAAAGAAAATGCCCAAAAGGAGAGGCTGGAGAGGGAACGCATCGCAAAAGAAAATGCCCAAAAGGAGAGGCTGGAGAGGGAACGCATCGCAAAAGAAAATGCCCAAAAGGAGAGGCTGGAGAGGGAACGCATCGCAAAAGAAAATGCCCAAAAGGAGAGGCTAGAAAGGGAATGCATTGCCAAAGAAAAGGATAGAATCGCCAGGGAAAAAGAGAGGGTAGAAAAGGAACTAGTAGCCAAAGAAAAGGAGAGAATGGACAGGGAACGCATCGCCAAGGAAAGGGCAATAATTGCTCAGGAGAAGGAGAGAATTGAAAGGACAAGACTGGAGAAGGAAAGGACGGAGAAAGAGAGAATTTCAATGGAAAAGGCGCTGATGGAAAGGCAGAGGCTTGCTAGAGAGAACGCTGCTCGGGACAAGATGGAGGCGGAGAGACTGGCAAAGGTAGAAGTGAGGAAACCAAACTCTTCCCAACCAAAAGCTCCAACAGCTGAGGAAAAAAGTGAGCGACCAGTAGTAAGAAAGGCGGTGGAAGGGAAATTGGCCGTGAGTGCAAAGCAAAAATGACCGCAAGAGGGGAGGATCGTTCCCTTTTTGAAAAAAATATAAACTGTACATTTGTGTCATCACTGAGCAGGTCAACTTTTATATCCTGTGCTTCTCTAGTGTAACTACCTATGGAAAAACAACCTGCTGATTGGTCTGATTTCTACTCTAATCTTTTCAGTATTCAACATCCTTTTGTAGATTTGATGATTTTAAATCTGGAAGAAAATCTTGAAAATCCTGAAATGTGTTTGGCAGATTTTTACCCAGTTTCTAGTCCGTTGCATGTTTGGTTGATTTGGTTTTATTTGGGTGATGATATCAGCTAAAGCAAGCAAACCCTTTTGTCTTATCTAATGATGCAAGCGTGAATATGTTTTTTTTTGCAAATAGTTCTGCAGCTTTGATAAAATGTGAATGTAATATTTATTGAGTTTCAACGTTTTTAATTTAATTTGAAAAATCAACTTTTGATTGATCCAAAACCAAAAAACATTTGGCTAAAATTCAAACGCTGATGTCATTACTAAGCATTGAATGTTTAAAGCATAGATTTTCTGTTTGGATTCATCAATGTGACATTATCTCAAGGTTAATAGTTTGGTTAAAGTGTCGTCTTGCATAACACAGAAACTGTGCTAAGACTGTATTTGAATAGTTTTCAATGTGTGTGCTGTCATTTGAAACCTCGTCATTGTCCACTTAAGGGATTCATTTGCTGATACTTGAGAGTAGTTGTGTTTTTGTTTTTTTTGTGCGATATGGTCATCCCTTTGGTTACTGGCTTTTATCTTTGCGTGATGATGGTTCATTAGGATTTACATTTTATTAAGTTTTGAGCATTATTTAATTGTCGGTAATGTAGAGAAAAGAGCTGGTTTGAAGGGGGGTAAATTGTGTTTTCAAATAACAAAATGACTTATCTTCTGCTTTTTTGCATCCTCTCTGAAATACTTTTCCTTCAAAGTGTGAGAAAATCTGTGGAAAATAAATGTTGGTTATCAAATTGTGATATGTTTGTCTTCCTTCTTGGTGATAACTGAGATGTAAAAGTAGCTTGATAATGTGTGGAGGGAGTACGTGTTGCCATTACCTGCAAACACTTTCATTTTAACATGAGTAATGAACAACACATTCTCCTTCCTTTTATTTAACGTATCTCCCTCCAACACAGCTTCCTCCTTTCTTATCTTGTTTCCTTTTCCGGCTGCTGTAACTCAAGACTTTCTCTTCCTTAAAGTAAGAAATGTAAGTGTGTGGTTGATGGATATGTTGAATTCGAGCACATACTGTTTTCTTTAAGGCACTGGCCCACTTACCTGTAAACCACCATCAGTCATAAATAGTTTTTGCATTTCCTGCTGTTTTTGTCTTTCTTGTCTTCTTTATCACACACCTATACACAGTGTGGGTTAAGACTTCTTCGTCAGCTTTTTACTTTAGTGAAAAATGAACAAAGTTTGGTTCCATGGTTTATTAAAGGCTATTTTAGGTGGTGTTCCAATAAAGGAAAACTAAATGTTCCTTTATTTTACTTTCATTTCATTCAATCAAATGTGAAAGGATTGTTTTGAAACCAAAAGTGTATTCCAAAGAACACATTTTGAACAAGTCTAATGTTCATTCCCTGGCTGTCACCATTAAAAAGATAGTTTACTTCTCCATAGTTAGTGTTTTACTTACAGTAGATGCAGTTTAGACATCCAAAAGTTACATTTCAGTTTAAGTGTACACTCCATTAAGCTGTATTTACGCTCTTTTTAAAGACTCCAAAATCCATTGACAAAAACAGTAATTTGACCTTGCATAACACAGTAGTTGCAGGTCTACCAAAAGTCACATAATAACAGAAAATACCTCGCCAATAGAGGAAGCGATAAACCATAAACTCCTGTGTTCTGCGGGATCAAATAGCTGTTTTTTTCAATAGAGTCTGGTGCATTTGGGCATATTTGTCCTGCTTGTTCTACTGTCTGTTTCTACAAACTGCATCTACTATAGGTGGTACACTGACTCTGGAGAAGTACCTTATACAACCACACTTCAAGACATCACAACTATCCCTAGCATTGAGTAGTTTGTTTATTTATTTATTTAGTTTTGCTATATACTGTATATCCTAAAATACGAAAGGTGTGATTAAGTTTGCATGTGTCTGATTTTATTTTTGCACTTGAACCTACCACACAGGGTTGAAGGTGGCAGAGAAAACACATGTAGAACATTCACCTAAGGAGAAAATGGGTGAGGAGACACACACACACACACACACACACACACGTCTATTGTCTCCTAGACAAATAAGCTGACTCAGACCTGATGATATCTGGGTTTCTGTTTCAACTTGTTCCTACTCAGAAAGCTGTGTTACAAAACACACACACACACACACACACACACACACACACACACACACACACACTTGTGCCAGCTCCACCCTGCTTCAATTTCACATTGACAATAAACTGAAATACAATTAAGCTACTTCATTTTGTGTTACTTTATATTTCTACTGTTCTGCATCTCAGAGGCAAATATTGTACTTAATACTGAAATACATTTTCTTTAGTTTATTTACAGAATCAGACTAATTCAACCATAATCAACAAATAAATGATATTAGTATATTAATAAGATGTTATTGTTCCCCAGGGGATGCAAATGTTACCCAGTAGCACATCAAGTAATGTAAATGTGTAATAATTTGTCATGTTATCGATTATTCCGTGGACAGAAACATAAATTAATGCATAAACATTTATCAGGACAACACCTAGAAAGCCCCGTTCAAGGGAATTAAATGTATATCCTATATTTACCTTGTCTGCCTGCTTTCCTCTCTTAAAGTTTTAAAAACCAAAGATGCAACCAATCGGCACGCAGCAGCGCCAAACACCGTCACCCCAACACAGGAGACAGGTGTGTGTTGTTAATATATTACCAGATATAAAGTAATTTAAGTAGAGTTACCATAACTGAATGCTCATCAAATATTTTTTAAATGAGTACAGTGTATTAAACGGGGGTTCATAATTGATTTCCAATGTTTATTCCTCTCTTTTTAATATCAATAATCATATTATATGTATTGTTATTTTTTTGTTTATTACTGTTACTCTCAGTGTTTACATTTCTGTTATTTGTCAGTTTCAGCGAGCAGCCTTTCATCTGTGCACAATGATGATGATGATGATGATGATGATGATCCAGGTATGTACTAGATAAAGAATAATAACAATTAGTGAAGAATAAAGATATTTCTCACTAACTGATGAAGAGCAGCAGCTTAATCTTTTTTTAATGAAACGCTGTGTGAGCTGCTGTGTCTTTGAATGCTGCTGCTTTGTTGCACTTTTCCTTTATTATTTGCTTGTTTTAAAAAAAACTATTGAACATTTCTATTGTATATGAAATGCTTGTGCCTCACTAATACAAGTACAATACGTAATGTGAGAAAGGATGTCAGGTGTTAAGGGCTAATTTGTTAAGTATACATTATAACTATGTAATTCTCTGTTTACCTGCTGCAGGACTAACTATTAATACATACGTCAGAATATTATAATTATTTGTATACGTTAGTTTTATCTTGTTTGTTTCTGTATCTCCAGCTGCTGTACCTCTCCCTCCAATGGTGAAAGATGACTTTGTGCCAGGTACGTCAGACAGTATTCGGATCTTTGCAGGAAAAATACTTCTGCATTCACTTAAGTACAATTATGTAATGGAGGTATTTAAAGTATTGATTGTGCAGTAAAATGTAGTTAAGGTACATCAAGTAGAGGAATTAATGTAGAGTAAAATGTAAATGTTTTTATAATATGTCTGTGTTACAGATGATCCTAGAGACAGCCTTCATCCTTATGGTGAGTAAACTCTTCTTCTCTGTTCCCTGCTTTTTACGTTTACCTTTTTTTCTAATAATTCACTTTTTTGTCTGCTTATTTTAGACGGTGAGGCTGAAACTATAGACACAGCTGGAGGTGAGACTTTTTGGAATTTATAAACTCCAATATGAAATTAGCAGAAGGAGATGTTGTAGGAATGTGTTTTATCAAGTGGACTACAGGAGGGCAGTGGTGGGAGAATTATTAATATTCTTGACTTTAGTCAAATACATTTATAAATTACTTTAGTGACAATACAATTATCTAAAATGTCTAATTAAATACAGAACTTGAGTAAATGTGATTATGTCTCCTGCTGCAGTTCTAGTAGAGGAGAGGCTTCCAGAGGAAAGTATAGGTGAGTCTAACACAATATAAATACATAATATAAAACCCAATAATAATAAAGAAAAAGAGTTTAGGCCAAATCATTTAATTAATATTTATATATATATTCTTTCTCATCCAGTAAAATGCAGGTTAAAAGCCAAAAAGAAAACGTTTGTTGAATGTTTAACTCACTGGGAGCCAAATCAAAGCACTAATAGTAAAAAGCGATTAAACCTGTTTTACAGCTTCTGGACACAAATATTTCTCACACTATCACTGATATCAACATCTGCTCTGATAATACGTGTTGTGAAGTGTGTTTTATGTGATAATGATTCATATTATTTTCTTTTTTCTACATGTTCTGTTGTAGAGATTGGACAGGACTTGACGAGCTCCAAATTCACCCAGGAAGCAGGTATGTTGTTTAAAGATAAAGTCTCAAATACGGGTCATTGTTTCCTTTAACATGCAGAAAGGAAATATAGTAAATGCTGCCTCTCTGCAACACACTACTGTAATGAGTCACTATAGAGCAGTGGTCCCCAACCTTTTTCCCCAAGAGCCCCCCCAAATGACTCCTGTTGGCAGTTGCGCCCCCCCCCCCCCCCCACTCACACAAGGGGGGGGGGGGGCACAACAGCGGTTATTGAAGTTTAAAAGTCTAAAAAATGCAACAACTACTGTCACAAACTGGATGAATGTGAAGTATTTTGTTAAAGGAGGATGAAAGCGGAATTAAGGAGCACTATTGGAGTGACTTTGATGGTTATTGGACTCAGGATTAATTCATTTGGATTCCCGCTGAATGAAGAAATTAAATGACGGCGCAAGTGGAAACAATTCACAAAGGGATTAAACTGTTTAAAACACATGCTCAAAGTAAACCGGATTTTGCCGATGTGTTTATGTGGATTCAAAAGTCGTAAATAATCTACAAAATGGAGGAGACCGATCTGATCGGAGCAACTGTGACAAATAATCCAACTGAAACCGGCATGGACAATGACATGTTTTAAAAATGCACTTATCCAGAAAAGCCTGGTTTGGACACTTTACGGGCAGAAGAAACATTTCTATTAAAGAAACAATTATACACTTCTGTCTTTTTATGCCTATAATAGCTACTAACTTGAATTTGTATTCAAATTAATTAATCAATTATTTTTTATGTTTTATTGTAATGTAGAGACAAGGCTTTTAGTGACAATCATGTATTGCCTTACAATTCTATGTAAAAAAAAAAATAATAATAATAATTCTAAATATGATATTTGGCCTCAAATCATCTGAGGCCTGGCGCCCCCCCCCCCCCCCCCCCCAAGGGGGGCGCGCCCGCCAGGTTGGGAACCACTGCTATAGAGGAATTTAGTTTAGAGAAAATTATTCTGAATTTATAAACTTGATTGTTTATTTCCGGTCAGATTCAGCTGTGGACACAGAGATCCAGGCTGAGCCACTAGCAGAACCAGAACCACAGAAAGAAACACCAAAGAAGACAGAGGCGGAGGGTAAACACACACACACACACACACACACACACACACACACACACACACACACACACACACACACACACACACACACACACACACACACACACACACACACACACACTCACACTCACACTCACACTCACACTCACACTCACACTCACACACACTCAGACAGGAGCAGTAGAAAGCCACCATCTAGTGGCCAGTAGTAGGATGACAGCTTCACTATCCATAATTATCAAAGTTTATAAACTATACTTTATACTCAGTGTTGTACTAAGTATTCAGATCCTTCACTGCAGTAAAAATAATAATCGTATACTGTGAAAATACTAAATTCCTGAACATGGTGGGCATTAAATGTTAAAGTGTCTCTTTCGCTGTTTTTAAGAACCAACAGAGAAACAGGCCGAGGAGAAGCTCAAAGAAAAAGGTAAAAACTGATTTGAATCAAACACATGAACAATGCGAAGTTATGCCTTGCATTTGATTCCACTGATGCTCTTTTTTCTTTTTCTTTTATTGTTTGTTCTTCCATACTCTCACATCTAGCAAAGAAGAAACCAAAGTTATTTAATAAGTTTGATAAAACCATTAAAGCAGAAATCGACGCTGCAGAAAAACTTCGGAAGAAGGTACAGACCT